GCGATGCGACAAATGCTGAGTTACGCTCGCGCTACCCGCCGCCGAGCATAAAATTATGAACCGCCTCAAGTTCCCGGTGATGGATCTGGGAATAGCGCCCCTTGCTTTACCCACTTGGACAACACAACAGCCAGTCTAAGCTGGGGTCCGGGGTCTCCAAGCAGCCCAAGAAGGAAACCAGAGAGGTTCGGCCTTTGATCGATGGTACCTACGACTTGCTGCGCAGTGGCAGACCTTCCTAACGGTTAGCGAATCGCAGCGCCGGCACACAAGCGCATATGGAGTGCCTCCTCCACCCCTCCCACCCCTCTCGCCGCGGAGGTGCAGCGTTCCTGGCAAGCAACACATAGGTATGTGCATACACACATACATCCACCCAATGTAGGGATTCCAATGCGTGTCCACATGCATGTAGAGTATAGGATAGGGTACCGTCGGCATCTCGTGCTTTGATTACTTATTGACGCTGTACTGAGTATGGGTGCGTACGTGTAGAGGCAGGTTTGCTGGTTGGTGTAGAGGGTAGGTAGTATTACTAGCGAACTTGCCAAATCAACCCAGGCATGCCGAACAACAAGTTCTATACATCCTACCTATTCCTTTAGTATATGCATACACCGGAGCGGCATCCAGGATATTAGCAGCATCAACTTGTAATCTAAACGCCTCTGCCCATAAGGTACCTAAGGTAGATACCGCGCCAGGTACCTCTTCCACAGGGTTTTGTCGCAAGTCGACCTTATACCCGGGCGGTTATGAGGTTGGCAAAGGTTAGGTACCCACCCAGTTACCTAATGTGCGTAATTTTAACGCCCGGGTCCATTTGATGGAAATTACCATATGAGTATATCGAAATTATGTACCTGCTGGCACATACCGCGATCTCCCATACTGTATGTCCCAGACTGTATGAGGTATGTCGACAACTTCGACTCTGCCAAGCGTTATATGGATTTTGCCGCGCAATTTGCTGCGTACACAGGTCCTACCGAAGACGGCTCGCTCGACAAGCCAGCAGTCGAGATCCGACACAGACCAGCAATGCATTCACGTATGCCAAGCCCACGATGCCCCGAAGTTCGAGATAATAGTGTGTAGTACTGGCAGTATCTTAGATCTCCCCGGCCCTGGATAAAACTACCATCTTGAACCTCTTTCTCGACCCGCCTCTGCCCCTTCCCTTCTCCAGAGTTCCGCACGCTCAACCCCCAAACCTCAACTCAACTCCTCTTTTAACTCGACATATGCTCCTCTCCCTTTCTTTACCTTCTCGTTTCTGCGAGTCTCTTCGTGCCGAGATTCGTGCTGAAACGAACCGACACGAGACTCCCGAATAATCCCCCACCGCCCTATACCACTTACCTATTCACAATTGTCTTTCCCTCTCTCTCTTCCTGTGTTGTACTACCTCGCACTGCCCACTTATTACTTACACCGACCTGAGAGAGAAACGCCTCCGGGGCCTAGATAGCAACCCTAACTTCCATCAAACCCGAGTTTGATCGCGACCGGGGTTTTTCCCTTGACGTCTCCTGCAGCCGGCGTTGACGAGCACCCGCTACTCTCCGCAGGGTCCTCCTAATGCAGCCGCACAGGATCCCGCCCATCTCTGTGTGAATTGCGTCTATAAGCCTAGGCACGCCCCATACCTCCATACCTCCATTACCTCCACGCACGTCCACACGTAACGCTGCTACGCCAACACTACGCTGTCCGTCCTATACCCTTCCTGCCTTGCCCTACCCTAGCCACTACGCATCCCACCCGCCGGCCCACTGGCCAACCAGGAGACGTAGCTCCGCACCTATCTCGTTCCTCGCTTTGGACCTACGAGGACTGGGCTCGACATAGTGCTAGGGCGCCATAGGTAGTGGGTTTGTTGCTCGCATGCGGATTGCGACTTTGGAGAGGAAGATCCACGACCGGCCTAGCCAGCACCCACAGCGCTCTTCGACTTACACATACATACATACATACATACGCACATTGACGCATCCAACGTGCCCCTACGTACATGCCTACATCGCAGTACCGAGCCAGACCAAATTAGACGCTCTGCGGCCTTTTTCCCCCCTTGATATAACATAGTCGACCTTCGTCCCCCCTTCCCCCAGAAGACCCTTTTTCTCTTTTTCGTTTTCTCCCTCTCCTCTCCACTCTGCCTCCCCCTACGACCGACCTCGCTTGCCTTGGCATTCAGGCAACGTAGATCTCCGGGTCCTCTCGATCACTCGTACTCGCCGCTACGGCGTCGCGCCTTGGTGTGCCACCACGCCCTCACTACGACCGCCCACCAAACCGCCCGGGTCAGCACCTGCATCGAACATCCCGAGAAGGGGAGAAGCCAAGACGATTGTGTGCAGACTCTACCGATTTCTCGCTGTTGTTCACCCTGGTGCTCCCGTCTTGGTCATTGTCTTTTTTCTTTTTTGACAATTCGTTTTTTTAAACGCTGCCTTTCTTTTCGTGCTGCGGAGAAAAAAAAAAGGATTTGTTGGGAACGATCCTCTTACACGGAGCCGCCCTTCGAGACTTAGACGCAGACCCAACCGTGTACATGAGGGCAGGCGGCCACGAAGACTGGTGTTAGTCGCAATAACATCCGACAACGAGGACGACCGGTCGTTATTCCCGCAGTGCCGACGAACGACGCCCCATAGCGCCAGGACCACCGGGGACGAACAACGACAAGGACGAGTTGCTAGTCCAGACAAAGAACGTCATCGGAAAGCCGAATCGACCGAGCGAATCCGAGAGCGAGCCAACCCGTGGCCTAGCGGCACGGCCAGCAAGCGGATGGTAGAATAGCCACTGTCAATTGGCCCTGTGCGGTTTGCCTCTCTCTCTCTCTCTCTTGCGACGGTAAGCCACTAGCCCCTTCGGCCGACGGGTTGCCCTCTTCTCGCCTTGGGTAGGCTGGGACGGCGGTCGAAGGCGCGCTTGCATAGCTCTCGGCGCCGCACCTAAATCTCGTGCGATACCAAGATCGCCTGTCCAGCCAGGAGAGAGTCGGGCCGCCTACCTGTCGACCGAGCCAGAGCCTACAGCGACAACCAGCTATTAGCTAGCCCAGCTAGCCCGGACATGGGGCTGGCGTGTCTCGCCGGATCGGTCTACTACGTTTTGGGACAGGACTCCAAGCAGATTGTACGGGCCCGCCGCTGACCAGCCTAGCGTGCCCGGGTGCCAGCTTGGGCCAAGTGGAAAACCCACTGGGCGGGAAATATCGCTCGAGCCAGCAACAGCGCCGAAGTCACCCTCCTCGCCGTACCCTCGCTATAAGCGGGAGGTAGCTGCTACTTACCACCTACCTACCGCCAACGCTCTGCCCCGTCTCTGCTCGTCTCTACTTATATCCTAGGCCATCCTGCCCGTCCGTCTCCTCTACCTCGCACCCCCCTCGGTCCCCCCCTCGGTTCCCCCCCCCCCCTGATCGGCCCTAGGTAGGTACCTAGGTACTGTTGTCACTGCTACCTCGTCGCGCGGGCGTCGCCAGCAGCAGCACGGGCGTACCGGCTACCGGCGGCCCACCCACCGCTGCGCTCCAGCACCCGCACCTGGTGCGCTACAGCGCTACTGCTTCAGGTGTTCCTCCAGGCGAACTTGGGGGTGCCCCCCGCTTGTCTCCTAGGCGCTGTCTGGTTGTCTGTACAGGTACTTTGCTTCCCTCTTGTTACTCCCCCCTCCTCCTCCCGCGTCTGGCTGTGACCCCCATATCCGCGCCCGACCGGCTGCCCTCCATCCAGCGCCCTAGCGCGCTGGGCGTGGTGTGGCCGTCGGAGGGGGTCGATTTATTTATTCCCTGTATCGCCCTTCGCTGCGACACAGCACGTCTCCCGGCGCCCAGCTTACCTACCGGCCTTACCTAACAAAGATAGCAGCCCGCCCCACAAACCCTGACTGCAGCGATGTCATCACCCTCGCCTTCGCCCACGGCCGCGGCCGCGCCTTCGCCGCTCCTAGCATCCCAGACCGTCACTACTGGCACTGCTAGCACTCCTGCCGCTAGCGTTCTTGTCCCTCCCGCCTCTGCCACCACCTCTTCTTCTTCCGCCCGTCTCTCTTCCTCCCCTTCCTCTCATCCTTCTTCCTCTTCTTTTTCTAACCACCACACCGTCCTGCGCACATCCTCGCCAGCGTCTGCGCTGCACGTCGTCAAGGGTTTCTCAACCGCTGTCTCAGCGAACGAGGCGGCTGCTGCTGCTGCTGCCGCTGCTGCCGCTGCCACCCAGATCTCGGCGTCTGCACCCGCGTCTGCGTCTGCGTCTGCGCCTGCGTCGTCTGCGTCTTCCACCACAGGTACAGGTAAATCCAGCCTCTGGCGCCCGCCTCTCCCTATTGACCCGCCCATTGTAACCCCAATTGCCGCCGCAGACACCGATATCTCCCGGTCGCCGTCCACCACGTCGTTCAATGCGTCGTCCGTGTCATCGGCGTCTTCGGTCTCGTGCAGCATCAGCCCCACGCCCATTGAGTCGCTCCGGCGCTTCCCCGTAGACCTCACCACCCCCATTCCCGAGGAGGGCGATGAGGAGACCGGCAGCGAATCATTCGCTAACGAGCCCATCACCCCGGTGAGCGCGAGACAATCACGGGATTTCCGCTACTGCGACCAGAACGACACGTACCAGCATCGAGATTCCATTACTAATCCTCTTATTCCCTCTTCGTCGGTTCCAGAGCCGTCCGACCTTTCCCTAAGTCTCGTCAGTAATCATAGTAGTAATAAAGACGCCCCCGGAGAGACCCATTTATACGCCGCGTCGCCTGCTGCTTCGGCTCTCCCGCCCTCGCTGCCGCTGTCGTCCCCCCCATCACTTCCGTCGCCTATTCCCTCGCCCCTGCCGACAGCGTCGTCTTCGCTCCGACCCGTGTCGCCAACTGAGCCGTTAACCAAAATTGACACGACGCAGACTGACGCCAGCCAACCCCCGCCAGAGCGACGCTTCTCGACGTCGTCGCGGTCCTTTGCGCTGCGCTCCTCTACTTTTTCCAAGGCCATGTCCATCTTTAAGCGCAGCAGCACCCACATTGTGGGGAACGGTGCGACGATGGCGTTTAAGGAACCCAATTACGGCGAGGGGGCGTCTGAGACGAATGTGCCCCCTGCCAATCGGATGACACCGAATAGTAGCCGACGCCGTTTCTCGTACCACAGGCCGTCCATCGCGACGAGATCCAGCACGCCGCCCTCCCCCGACTCGGCCGAGGAGATTGCCCCGGATACCAAGGTGCCCGATGCCAAGGACAAGTCACACCGCGTTTCCATGCCCACCACGCGTGACTTTTTCGAAAACCGCTCCAAGAAGGTCCGGGCACACACCGGGCTCTCCATCCGGGGCCGCGTCGGCTTCGGCCCCGCCAAGGGCCTCTCGCACCGACGCACGAGAAGCGTGGAGCGGAACAAGAAGAACAATGAAGAGTTGACGCGGTTGCCGTGGGCAATCCCGCCCGATGTAGGCACTGGTATGAAGGCCCGGCGGCTCAGCCTCAGCCTGCCTGACGATTTCACCGTGGACGTCGTGGATCTCATGAAGGAGTTCGAGTATCAGCATAAGCTTCTCGGTCGGCACGGGAAGCACCTCGGCAAGGGCGCGACCTCGAAGGTGACGCTGATGGTGCGCAAGGGCTGCCCTACCGAGATGTACGCCGTCAAAGAGTTCCGCAGCAAGAGTTCGTCAGAAACCTTGGCCGACTACGAGAAGAAGATCAAGTCTGAGTACAGCATCGCCAAGAGCCTGCACCATCCCAACATCGTCGAGACGATCCGCCTATGCACGAACCACGGTCGCTGGAGCCACGTGATGGAGTATTGCTCAGAGGGTGACCTCTTCACCCTCGTGTCGAAGAAGTACCTGAGGGAGGAGGGCCGCGCCACCGACCGCCTCTGCCTGTTCAAGCAGCTCTGCCAGGGAATCAACTACCTGCACTCCAACGGGATCGCCCACCGGGACATCAAGCTGGAGAACCTCCTGATCACGAAGGACAGCAAGCTGAAAATTACCGATTTCGGCGTTTCCGAGGTCTTCTCGGGTATCCACCCGGGCCTCAGGGAAGCCGGCGGCCAGTGCGGCATCGGTATGGTGGACGTGCGCCTCTGCAAACCAGGCATCTGCGGCAGCCTGCCGTATATCGCGCCCGAAGTTCTCAGCAAGAAGAGCGAGTACGACCCCCGGGCCCTCGATATCTGGAGCTCGGCCATCGTCATGATCTACCTCACCTGCAGCGCCAACCTGTGGGAGAAGGCGGAGGCGGGATTGCCGGGGCCGGCCCAGAAGATCTACAACGAGCTCGTCGCCGGCTGGGAGAAGATCGATGCGAAGCGGGCGTCGAACCCCGACGACCTGAGCAAGGACGCGTATCCGAAGATTGCGGCTTTCGAATTCTGCGTCAAATCCGCGCCCCTCCGACGGCTCCTTCTGAACATGCTGCATCCGGACCCGACGAAACGAATTACGATGCACGAGGTGATCTCGAACCGGTGGATGAGGAATGTGGAATGCTGCCAACTCGAGAGCTACGAAGACCCGGTCAAGTTCATCGACGCCGCCAAGATGGGCAGCATGAAGTCTAGCACGGGCAAGATCTTCTGTCACAACCACCTACCGCCTATGAGCACAGGCCACGGGTTACCCCCTATGCCTGGCAAGCCCGGTTACTGAGGCACAGGCGGGGGCTGGCACCTTGAATTTGTAGGGGTGTTTCTCGTGACAAATTTGCTTATCTTCCTCTCTTTTCCCTGTCACCATATAAACTGTCGTTTTTTTTTTTTTTTCCTTTCTAACTCTCGGAGTCTGTTGATAACTCTGGCGTTCTACGGTACTACCCTTGGAATTGAAGAGGGGGGTGGGGTAAAGTGAAGGGGGTCCTTACTTTACTAGGGTGAAGGGTTGCATTGCTTCTTGACGCGGTCACGGAATCATATACAGTATTGAGGTGTCGACACCATACATACCGAATTCATTCCTCCTTTTTTTTTCTTTTTTTTTCGTATTTTATTTCGTCACGCATGCATCACTTGAGTAGTCGGATACATGGCACTCAAAAGAAGGTACTAGCATAAGCATTTTGGTGGGTAGTATCAGAGTTCGAGGTCGAAAGGGGGGGGGAGGAAGGGTAGCATTGCACGAGAGGGGAGGGGAGGGTTTCGTGTTGCAAGAGAGAGAGAGAGAGAGCTTTTTCTCCTTTTGGGCAAAGGCTTTCTGGAATTACAAGGGCGGAGAAGTATCACATCCATGAATGTTTTTCCTCTCCTCGTCCCCGACTCGCTTCTGGGTCCACTAGGGGGAGGTAGGAAGGCGGCGGAGAAGGAAGTGCTAGTTACATAGGGGGAAGATTGGTTGTCCATCGCATGATCACGATAGAAGAAGCTTGTGCAAAAGGGAAAATTGCGCAGCGGCCCCTCGCCGCCAGATCGAAGAGGCAATAGAATGCGTCGACGCTCGATGAAGAACAGTAATCGCTCTGGGTTCCTTGGTAGTGGGTACGTGACTTGACTTGACTTGACTTGACGACTAGGGGGGCTATTGCCCGTTCCTTCGTAGTGCCGTCTACATTCTTCTCTCCCTTGTTTTTTTTTTCTTTCTCGGTATCAGTAGCAATACGGCCCGTTGCTGCCAGCGCTACGCTACTACGACTGCTACTCGCAGAAATCGAATAGTTAGGTACCTAGGTAGGTAGGTAGTTACCTATATACCGTTGGCTTCCGCGGCCGCCGCCCTCTTAGACTGCTACTTTTGCTACACAGGCCTACCGACCTAGGTAGGTAGGTAGTGCCTAGAACCGTTCGCACAAGCTTACTTCTCGCTTTTTACGCCTGGAGGGCGTTAGTCAGGTAAAGGGGTATATGTACATGCATACGGTGTGGCATTAAGCCTAGACCTGCCCATCTGCCTGCCTGCCTGCCTGCCTGCCTGCCTGCTTGCCTGCCCGCGCGTCCCCGGTCGCTGGTTTCGCAGGGTGCGGAGGGCGGAGGGGGGAGGGGGGGGAGACCGGGGCAAGACTAGACCAAAACTGGGTGAAACTTGGAGGGAAAGAGAGGTATTTTTTTTAAAGAAAAAAAGGCGGACTTTGTAGGGCGAGTAGAGGTGAGGTGAGGTGAGGTGAGGTAAGGTGAGGTCGGGCGGCGGCGTGGACGCACGCGGTGTGCACGCGGCACGTACCTACCTATACGTGCCTACCTACATGCCTTACGTAGGTAGGTAGGTAGGTAGGTAGGCCAGACAGACAAACCCTTAGGGGGCTGGCCTGGCTGGGCTCTAGGCTGGCGGCACAGAGAGACACAGAGAGAGAAGCAGAGGCAGAGGGACGAGAATCGCGATCGCTGCGGCCGGGGCCAGGGGGGGGGGAGCGGGGGGCGTGGGCGTAGCGTGGTGGCGCGATCTGCGACTCTCTCGAGAGCGGACACTCGTACTCGCCAGGCTTTGGGGCCTGTTGCGGGGGGTGCGGTGCAGAAACGTGTGGTACTGGAACACTGACTGCGTGGTGCTTCTTTTCCCCTTTCGCGCGCCGCAGATAGGCGCACCAGGTGCGGAGGGCACAGAAACAAGAGACAGAGGGTGGGGTGCCCAGCGCAGCGCAGGCGACGCCACCCGCCGCCGATCGGTCTCGTGCCCGTGGGGTCGGCCGGCCAGTGCTCGCCGAGGGGGAGGGGGGCGGCGGTACGTGCGATCGCGCCGTGTCACCTGCGGCCGCTGGTGCGTTTTGCGGGGTGATTTTTCCCCCTTCTCTGGAGGGGGGCTGCTTATGCTGCTGCTGCTGGGTAGGCAGGCATGTTGTTGTATTGTATCGGAGGTATCGAGGTAGGGTAGACAGACAGACAGACAGACGGACGGACCGGGGTTGGCTGTGGCCTTGGCGAGATGAGATGAGATGAGATATGAGGTAAGGCGGGGGGGAGAGGGGACCTGGGTCTGGCGCGAGGCGAGGCGTTGCGGCTGCTGCGGCGGCGACGGCGGTGGTTGGTCGGGCAAGGAGGCAGATGATGAGGATGATGTAGCGATTGTCAACCCCGTTTGCCGGTTTGGGACGTTGGAGACGTTCGCGTCGCTGCGCCTATCGGCCTGCGCATGTAGGTAGCATGCGGAGGCAGGTGTATGCGCAGTTGGACGTCGGTGTGGCCAGCAGCGAGGAGACAGAGGAGGGTATATCGCTGGCCGACATATTGCCTATAGCCTTGCTGTTATTGCTGCTGGTTCTAGAACCTACCTGTCTATAGGGTGCAGACTGGCACGTAACCTACCTAGACATACCTAGGTAGGTACCTAAAATGCGCACGTGTAGGCGGCGATGGAAATGGAAATCAGCACTCATAGGTACGCAGCCAACAATCCACGTTCCACGGCGCCGCCAATTCCCCTTCCGGCCCCTTCGTCTTGCAGATGCAGTCATTGGGTCAGTCCCCCGTCCCGAGACCGGTTAATGTCCTCCCACACGGTCATGGAACGTTCTCGGCCTGCCTGTAATCAGAGGCGCCACCCCGTTCCTTGCTCCTTTGTACTTCGTCGCTAGGCGTAGAGGCTGACGGCCTCGTCCTTTCGTGAACGCATCGTCTCGCGCAGGCCTGGTCGGTGTCTATTTTACCTCTACCTGTGGGCAAGAAGGATGGGGAGGGCGACAGGGGAGGCGGGGAGGGGGGGCGGAAAACAAGCCTTTTCGCCAATGGAGATCCCGCATGGCGGATGCGTCGACCACCCTCCTTTACCCTACCTATCGAGGTTCGTTGGGATTCCCCGCCCCTTGTGCTGTCCACCGAGGAGATGCCTGCAAGAGGAGCAAGTGAGCCATGGAACACCTGCAGCCAGCTACATACCTATCGCACGAGTGCCACAATCCAAATCCGCGCAGAACTGAATGATGACCCGGCTTGGCCAGACCGCCTTGGGAAACGGCCCCCCCCTTGTATATAAGGCAAGAGTGTCTCGTGGGCCAATGGCGAGCGTCGCCGACGCCGCTTGCGAACAGCCCAGCCAGCATCCGAGCTGGGCGACTCGATGTTCGCCGGCGAATGGGGTGGCACGATGGAGGGGACCGCCAGCTGGGATGAGATGAGAGGGTGGAAGCGAGAGACGCTAGGAATCCTGCCAGCGCCCGTGTGGGGAGAGATCCCGGTTCAGCCCCCCCCCTGGTGTTGCCGCTCGTCGTCGATTTGCTTCTTCTTTCGGCTCTCGCTCGCTCGCGGCTCGCTCGCGGACAGCGAGTCGGACAAAGGAACGGATGGGTGGGTGGGTTGGTGAATTCTACGCGCGTTGCGTTACGAGGAAGGGCAAAGGAGGCAAACGGGGACGGGGATGGGGATGGGAATAGAGACGGGAATAGAAGCAGTTAGGACTAGGAACAGGTATCGACGCCTGCCTGCCTCCTTGCCTGTCTCTGTGCGGATCGTCCGCCCGTTGCAGAGTGTGGGACAACTTGCACGAAGAGAAGTTAGTTGAACCCATGCATACCTACCTACCTCTTGTCTCTCTATCTCGAGCCAGGCATGTTCGTACAGCCAGCCAGCGGTGTGCCTACGCATACGCATACCTGTACCTACCGACGTGCCAACCTATACAGTCTTCCTGCTTCCGTCGGCGCCCTAGTGCCCCGGCCTTGCAGGGCTATTCTAACTAATACGTGGTATTACATCAACACCCCAAAGGACAGACGCGACGACAGGTCGGCGAGTGCAAAGCCCGACAGCTCCGAGAGCCCAGGCAGGCGAGCGTCGAGAAGAGGCCCATGCGTCGTCCGACCTGGCGGTTAATGCCGCCTTTCTCCTCGTCATCGCCGTGGTCGCCCTTCGCGCTAGCCCCTTTCTCTCTCTCTCTCTCTCTCTCTCTCTCTCTCTCTCTCTCTCTCTCTCTTATGGCCCCCTCCTGCGCGATCTCCTCCGCAGGGGGATCGGGGGCCTGTCGGTCCCGTTATGATTCGTGCCCGCCGTGACGATGGGATTCCGCCCACATGCGCGCGCGCTGGTCGTCGGACCCGGACGAATGGGAGGGATGGGCGCCATGAGGAGAGCCAAGGTACCTATAGGCGTGAGGGTTTCATCCCGAACGGGGGGTTGGCGTCTCTCCTGGGTAGGGTCTGCATAGTGTGGGAGGGATTGTGTAGGCCAGGTAGGTAGGTAGGTAGGTAGGTAGGTAGGTATGTTATCACGAAGACCAGTAAACAAAGGATACCTATTATCGGCATGTCCAGGCGTGGAGGTATCGATACATCGAGGGCCACATACGGCCAGTATAGCCAGCCCTTTCGCTCTTACATCTTCCCTCCCCTCGGTACGCAAGACTGGCAGTGCGTCAGTGCCGTCAGCTGCTCCGTGGACCTGGCTAACCTTGTCGTATACGATGGTTTCGTATGTTTCGTGTCACAGGCATCCCTGCCTGGGTCAAGTCAACCAGCAGTGTTTTTATTTACTGGCTGAATTTGTACTTTTTGACTTGTGCATACACTTGGGTACCTAGATCTCGCGTCTGCCCGCTTCGGAGTTCTCGCCAGCACAAGGCGGACGTCAGCAAGCGATCATACGCCGCCGTCAGTAAGTAGGTAGGTAGGTATAGGCATCGCCAAATTAGGCATGGCTACCCACTACCTAGGTATATAGGTACCTCCAACCTCGACGACGTCGCCGATGCGTAGGTACAGCCAGATCGACACACACGCACACACGCACATACACGCACATACACGCACATCGCTGCGGACTCCCTCCGCCGCCGACGACCTGCGCATTTATCACGTACCTACGCACGGGCGAAATGTAGCGTGCCTACACGGCCACATGCAACCTGACGCGGACGTATCTTAATTTGATTGCATCTGCGTGGGGGGTGGGAAGGATTCCTGCCGGCCGGCGAGGTGTTCTGCGACCGCACCGTGCTTCTGCTTGCCGCCTCTGCTTCTGCAGTGGACGAGCTGGCGTCGTTTTTCTCTGCCAGACGGTCACAGAGCGTGCCCACGTGCACGCGCGCGCGCGCGCACGCACGCACGCACGCACGTATTCTATCTATCTGCCCGTCCGTCTGAACATGCCTACATATTGGAACCCAAGATCTACACTGCATAGGTACCGTATACCTACCCACCGGCCGGTCCACGCAGACAGCTGGCAGGACGGACATGATGTGGGATGGTGGATAGGGATGGTGGATAGGGATGGTGGGAGGTGGGTGTGGGTTGGATCGATCCTCATCTCGACCTATCCATCTCCTCGTCCGCCTGCCACCCTGAGGACTCGTCGTCTGGGTTAGCCTGTCTCGTCGGCCCATACTCATTCGCCCACGTACGCCTTTTTTTTTTTTTTGTTGGGATCTGCTCACGTTCATCGGTGTTCGTGGGGACTAAACACTTACATGTCCGCGTATTTGCCCGAGTGGCAAGACAGCCCTCCTTCTTTCTCTTTCTCCACCGCGCGTTAGAGATACCCATGTGAGCCCGAAATCCAGTAGCTCTTATGTAAACAGTTAACCCAGGTACAGCGGCTACGTGTCTCCAAGTACAGTGCTGCCGATGGCGGACAAGCGACATACTCTAGGTGCGAGCTACGCGCTCCTCTCCGCAGATGCTCCCCCGTCGCCTCGCCGATAGGGAAATACATAGGTAGGTAATACCGATAACGAAACGACATTTCACGCGCGCGCGACAGAGAAGGCGACGTCGTCGGGAGGTCGAATGGAAAAGTGCCAGAACGTCTTGGCGAGTAGGGGTTCTCTTTCTTGGCTTTGCGAGCTTTCTCTCCTCCCGGGCTTCCGGGTCCCGGAAATCTCGAATGCCCAGCCTGCAAGACGAGCTGCTGGCGAGATGCCGAGCGCCTTGGCGAGATGAGCGAACGGAGCCCGGCACCGAATTGCGATTCTTTTTCTCGAAAAGGCAAAAAGCAGGGAGCGAAACTGGGGAACGGGGGGGAGGAGATAAAGATCGAAATAATGATAATAATAATGATAGGTAATGAATAGTAACAATAAAAGGTGCCGCTGCTGTACCTAGCTATCATACCAAGGTACGCCCTGCGATGGTTGCCGCCACTTGCGTCGGCCCCCTCCCCCCCTCCTCTTTATTTCCGTCGTCGCGCAGCGCGTTACAATCACCGCATGGGGTCACGCCACCGACGTCTTAGTCGACGGCGTGAGGGTTAGATCCCAGACGTGGCGAAAACCGCCGATCGAGGACTAGGCCGAGGCTGGTGTAGAGAGAAAGGAGTCGCCATCGAGGAGAGAAGAGGGGCCGGATCGCGCGAGACAAGCATTTTGAGTCAGGACCCGGCCCGCCCACGTCGCTACGACTCTCCTGCTCTGTCTGTCTCTCGTTACTCATCTCCCGCCTGTCGCGCGGTGCGATGCGTGCGAGTGAGACCTTCAGCCCTAGGCGACTTGACTAGTCTCTGACCGGCCGCCCGTGGCGACGTGATACTGCGTAAAGCAGACAGGTCGGTCGGCAGGCGGCGTAGCCTGCCGCGGTAGCAATAAAGCAAGCCGGCACGCCGGCGAGAGGGTCGACCGAAGAGTCTTACCAGGCAGTATCATTAGCAGACGTCGTCGTCCACTTTCCTGCGTGTGGTCAGGGAGTGTCCGTGTAGACCTGCTGTTGTCGTCGCTGCCGCCGCCGCTGCCGCTACGTTGTAGATGTCTTGAGTGCATCCGCGAGACTTTTCATAGCGTGCCTCCCCGCTAGACCACACCGACTACTAGCTATACCCACTCGTCTCCTCCCTAACCTACCCCGACGAGACGGGACGCCCAGCCAGTGTCTCCTCCCCGCTTCTCATGTCCGTAGACACATGCATACATACGTGCCCTCTCTCGCTCCGCCTCGAATTGCCTTATACGGGTGCCTTACCGTCTGAGCTATTACCAACATTTCTGCTATGCTCGATATCGTATCGTCTCGGGTTACCCTTCTCATCCGCCCACCCACTTCTTCACTCACTTACTCGCGCTCTCTTTCTCTCTGTATATATCCCGCAGAAGATAACCAAGTCTGGCCAGGGTGTGGTGGACAAGGGGGTGTTGCGTGTCTGCGCAAGTGTATGTACATGCGTGTTTGCGCCGAAGTGCGTGTTGGTGTGTTAGCAAGGCGGGTGTGTCATGATAGGCACATCAACCCCCCCCCCCCCCCCCCCTTTTCCGTCTTCGAGTTTCCACATGTCAGCACGTCCTGCCTGGTCTGGCCTGCTCCATCTACCTGTCCCATGCCATGTCACGCTGGGTTGGTCTACCTTACCTGCCATCCTGACTGTGCACGTAGCCAGCCGTTGCGTATGCATAGGCGTATGGACATATGCGTGTTGGTATGCCGGCGTACACCACGTACCGGCGTAGGCTTGACACACATACCTACAGGTCCTATACCGGTGACATGGTGTCTATGCCGGTGGGTGGTAGGCAGGCAAGCAAGGAGGTAAGCAAGCGGGCAAGCAAGCATCCCTTCGTGCGCTGCGTAACCCTCCATCGTGGCATGGGATAAAGCTTGATCCGTCTTAGCTACGGTTCCGTAGCATTGGACCGGTTCGGCGCTCCTAGGGACGTCCGCACCCAAGGACACTCGAGGCAATGCCAGCCGGGACGACACCTAACCCTTCCGGCAATCCACTTCTGCTACGGTACCAGCCCCGGCGCTTTTCTCTACGGTATGCTGTATGCATCCATGTATGCAGAGCCATCGCAGGGGCTGCGGCTAGTGATGGCTTTGCTTAGTCTAACTCCTCCCTGCCAAAGCTGCCGTCTTTTCTCCCCGAATCTATGTGTCTGTTATAGATACGTGGGGGGAAAGAGGGGGAGAAGCAGGCGACGAGACGGGGGCGGGGGCCAGTCTCGATCGCGTAGGTGAGGAGGTAGTTATCTGGGTCTACCGGACTCGGGTAGAATCTATCTACTCCCAATGAAAGAAGCAGTATAGATTCCACACACACTATCGCGCATATTGTGTAGACTCTTAAGGTTCCCCCCGCCCTCGTGCTCACTCGACGGGCCTTTCAACGCTAACAAAGGGGGGAGGACGAGAAGAACGCGCGTAGTTCACACCCGGGGCCTAGTCAGGGCCGTTCTTCCCGCCGCCCTCACTCTTTGTCCTAGACGGTATCCGATGTACAGTGCCGGTGCGATCTCGCCACGCACGTAGGACGCCGGCTATACGGCACAGTCGGCAATTATTTCTTCGACTTCCACGGACTCGGTGCTGAGCCAAGACGGGATCGCTGCGTGGATTTACGATGGCTGCAACAGGTAAATCAAAGATGCTCATTTTACGCCACCTCCTGCTACGACAGCTTGGAGGCGGACGGGTTCCGCAGTGTTACTCTTGGCAGAAAGCCTCTCCTAAGATGAGAGAGGTAGCTGCAAGAAGGGGCCACTAATATCGTACCGGAGTTCTGTGGTAGGGTATGTATGTCTAAGATATACCTATATATTATGCCTACTTTAAGTGCTCGCCGTCACATCACGTCATAACTCCGAGTTACTCCCTGGGGTGAATCATACTTGGTGATGGGTTGGGGTCGATGGTCGTATTCGTAGACAATTCGTCTATCTAGGTGACATGATCCATCTAAGTAGTGGAGGTTACCAGAGATCGAGGCTCTAAATCGCCTTGGTGTATGTTGAAGCCTAGTTTCAACCTGAGGGCAAGTAGGATCTACTGCGGTCGGGTGCCCTGGCCGCTAAGGATTCCTAGTACAGACGAAATATTCTCTAGATGGTGAAGAAGATGAGGAAGCAATATCGATAGCTCGAAAGTAGCTCTCGTGGTATGCTTTAGCCGGGTTGCTGTCGTAACTAGTGCCTACAGCCTCTCGACGGAATGCTTATGCTCAAGACGTGTACGGCACCTTGATGAAATTGAGGCCTTCTATGCGTGTATTTGACTTACGGCCTACACAGTGAATGCAGACCTTTACGGGCAGGAAAACCAGCACATCGCGACGAGCCGCAAGAGAAGCGTAAGATACAACGTGGTGTTCATGAAAGACGAATAGGGGCAGCTAGCATCTGGCTCACTGTATCTGGAGTATCCGTATAAGATTATTACAGGGCTCAAGCTGTCTCAGCTGTTGTCACATTCTGTGGATCGTGGATAGAGGTAGTCAGAACGTCCATGATGCGTAGCACTTCGTGCCTTCACATATCCGAGGAGTTGGTATGTAGTAGGCTCGAGAGCTCCGGCGTCTCTCGCCTTGATTCTTTATAGCTGAGGCCCGCGGGTAGCAACAGCATCCCAATAAGATGTCTCGGCACATGACGGACTGAATAAACACCGTAGCGCTCCTCCACACTAGCAGCCTCGATAACCCAGTCTCCCGAGCAGCATCCCAGCCATATTCGCGCGCGCTCGTCCCTCATGCAGAGCATCCCCGACCGCCCCTATCCGTCAGCCTCCCCTCTCCCTCTCCCTCTCCTTCTCCTTCTCCTCCGCCCACGCCGCCAATCCCTGCTCCAAGGCCGCCACCAAGCTCTTCGCCCACGCCGCGACGCCGCCGCGCCTCCCCGCGGCCGCGTCCTCGGCGAAGCTGACCCTCGCGGTCCACCAGTCGAGCCAGGCCTCGGCGCGCGCGCCCTCGGGCGCCGCCAGCAGGCCGACGGCGACGTCGACGAGGTCCGGGCGCCAGCGGTCGCGCCAGAAGGCGGTGGCGCCGCAGCGGGGGCAGAACTCGCGGCGCACGCCGGCCGAGCTCTCGTAGCTGCGCAGCGGGAGCCGCGCCGCCGGGGCCGAGAAGTCGAGGGGCGCGAGGGCGTCGCCCCCCCCCGCCGCCGCCGCCGCCGCCGCGTGCACCAAGATGTTGCTGCGCGGCACGAACGCCCACGTCTGGATCTCGAAGCCGGCCGTGACGCGGCACGAGCGGCACGAGCACGTCCCCGCGAGGTACCTCGTCGGCGCCGCGCCCGGCGCCGCGCCCGCGCCCGCGCGCAGCCACCACTTCTCGTCGCGCGGGTTCGCGACCGCGGCGCTCGGCGCCGCGCAGTACGCGAGCGTGAGGTCCGGGAAGTTGGAGCGCGGCAGCCGGCTGGCCGCGTCCGGGCGCGTGATGCGGAAGCGCAGCGTGCCGCAGCGGCAGCGCGCCTCGAGCGCGTCGTCGCGGGGGGCGCCCGGCCCGCGCTCGCCGCCGGCCGGGTCCGCCGGCGCCCCGGCGAGCCGTACGAAGCGCGCCAGGCCGCCGTCGAGGGTGTCCGCGACGTTCGCGTGCCCGACGCACCGGAGCAGCGGGCGCTCCTCGCCGGCGTCGCCGTCCGCGCCCGAGCGCGACTCGTCGGCGGCTGCGGCGCGTCCGATGATCACCCCCGTAGCCACGCCCCACGCCTGCCCTTCTCCCTCGCCGGTCCGCTCCTCGCCAGCGGTGGTGGCGGCGCTCGGGGCGGCGGGCGCTGCGGGCTGCCGCCGTAGCTGCTCGCGGAACACATGGCACCCGCACCGGTCGCAGAAGTAGCGCCGCGACAATCTTCCTCCTCGGCCCCCTCCTAAGCCTTCTGATTCATCAGCGGGTGGCTCGGCGCTGGGAGGCCGAGGGGGATACGCGGTGAGGCCGCTCAGCGACTGCGGCGGCTGCAGGAGCGGCGCGTACGAGACGCACAGCAGGCCGGAACTATGGCGGCACGTGTCGCAATGGCACAGGTCGACGCCGCACGTAAGACCCGACGGCGACGGCGACAGCGCCAGCGACACCGTCTGCTTCGCAGCGCCGCAGTGGCACGAGATCGAGACCTCGGCACCGTTAAGCAGAGACATGGTTGGTGTTTCAGTGAACGGTTCGGCCGATTCTAAGCTCCCACCATACGAGAGAGGAATCAGCTGCTATGCGGTAGTTTTCTACACCATGATGCTCCATCTAGATTTCTCTAGTTGACCTTTGCCCTCCTATATATACAACTCCGGGGATAGACTAGCTCACCTACTTACTGTAGTATTAGGAGGACGACTTCAAACGGTTATCAACCCCCCTTTTAAATACCAAGACCCGAAGTTTCGCCGTCTCGTGTACCTGATAGGCTGATGACAATTCTAACGTTCCAGCTCGGTGTTGACGCGCGTGTGGTTGTACTCCCCCCTGAGCGGGGGAACCGGAAGTAGGCTCCGTCTATCATCTAGACGTGGATGGTCTATCATCTAGACGTGGATGGTCAAGTGGTTGTTAGAGATATCTAGGTGAGGTCTAAGATTTCAGTGCCAGGGCAGCGGAGACTCGGTCCGTCGAATAAAGGTCGATGCCGGTAAAAGCGCGGCGAATCAATGATACCCTTGGATGGTAGAGTGATTAATTATTCTCTTCGGCATTTCATACTTACAACTTTATATAGCTAGGTCGAAGACCGCGCAGATACGGTATTGAACGAAGCAGATAATACAAGCGGAAGAAGATATATTGTGATCAGCACGTATTAGCTGACCTAGTCTGAGTTGTCCTCCGCGGGCAGTCATGCCCGTGTCCTCTTATTTTCGTCCACACTTCACTGTTACCATGCATGCGCTGTTTTTTTTTCTCCTTGGTTCCTCCAGATCTTCAGGAGTATGGTAGGTATACTAAGTATACCTGAGCTTAGACCATACACGATCCCGCCCGCAGATGCTTAACACCTAAAGAAAAAAAAATGATATCAGTGGAGATTTGCTCTGCGATGAGGTTGCCATATCAGAGGGCTTGAGTCAAACAAGCCCTAGCGTGACATGCGGCGAGGCCTTTAGACGGTCGCCTCGTTGCCCTCGCTCGCAGGCTTCGGGACCGACCTCTCGGCTTCCCTTTCGCCGTCCTTGCTTGATGATGCTTCCTGGGGAATCGGGTCATCCCTGACAGCCCCTTTCTTGGTCTCCTGATTGGCCCCCTCGACGTCGGGGTGTGGCGGCGCCACGCCGGCGGCGGCTATGTCCTCGATTGGCACCTCTACTTCGTTGCCGTCGGCGTCGATGAGACGGGTCCTCGTTTCGTACCTAGTCTTGAATTCGACTTTGCCTTCAAGCGCCTTTACCTGCTCTTCGTTGAGGATGTTTCCGTTCTGGTCTCGGTATTCGATCCTCTCTTGGCGTCCGATCACCTTCTGGTCCTGGGGCTCGAACTTGGGGGCCCCTGAGATTCCTGCGTCCGGGGTTTCTTGCTTGTTCTCGGCTGCTTGCTGTTGGTTCTTGTCGCCTACGACGGGATGGGCTGTCTGAGAAATCTGGCTCGGACTGGCACTAAGTCCCGAGTATGCGTCGTACTAAATGTATATATTAGTCTACCGTCTGTCTCAACAGTCCTGCACCCGTACGCACGCTCTCGGCGTTTGGGTAGAATACGTAAGACGGTGGTGTCAACTAGGACGGGAACACACAGGAGCCTCATCCGACTTCAACCCCGTCCCCTTACTGGCATGCCCAGGGGAGGGATACTCACGTTCTCCAAGAAGGTATTGCAATCCCAATCCCAGGTGTTGAATAGCTTCACGCGATTGCATTCAGACTTCGTCCAGGGATTTCCGTATGCGAGGGGTGAATACAGGGCAAATACAATTCCGGAAATTGCCAAGAGCGTAATCACACCAGTCTTGTTGACCTTTGGGTTCCCCCTGACCCCCGGAATCGGGAACCGGGCGGTCGCGAAGTCGAAGATTTGGCAAAACGCCATGATGCCGAAGAAGAGAGCGGGGAAGTAATGGTGTAGGAAGAGCTGGCGCTGCATCAAGAAGAAGGGGAAATAATGGAAGGCCCATCCAAGCACCGAAGTCCCGATCTCATAATCGAATCGCTTAAAGGTAGAGCTAGAGTAGTCGTTGCAACTGCGCTGCCATCGAAGAATGGCAACTCCCTTGAAGAGCACGTAAATGACCACGGCAAGAGTTGCAGTGTACCATACGACAGGATTTCCCATCAGGTAGATCTGACGGTGATCCTTACCCCAGAAGTTGATACCGCGACGGAGAATAGGCCATGACTCAGGGCGAGAATCCCAAGCGTGAGACTCGACGAGACCTGCGTTCGTCTTCCACATGACCTTCTGCAGCTCCCAGAATTTTCCGAGGAAGCCGGGGTTGACATAATTGACTTTCTCGGCATCGGCGGCAAGCCCAGGGTGCGAGTTAGATTCGATATACCACAGACTATTGGGGACGGTGCCTCCCTTGGCGCAAGTGACTTCCTGCTGCTCGGATGCCCAGTCGGGCAGCTTGACCTTGTGAGAGAAGAGCACGCAGCCGGTCATGATGTGAACGAGCCTGAACTTGGTCTGGATCGTGCGTAGCCGTTCCTTGGCCACAGACCCGAGCGACTGCTTCTTGACGATTTCGACTCGGAAGAGATCATTGGCATCGCCGCCAAACCCCTCGTACCCGTAAGCAGATACTTCGTTCTGCCAATCCGCCTCAGTGACGGGAGGCCGAACATCATGTGAATGAAGGCGACGGTGAGTGGCCACGTGGTACAGCCGGATCACATCGCCGTCCTTGATGTAGTTCTCGGTGATGTTTTTCACGGTATCCCAGGCGTTAGTTCCATTAATCGCCTCGCCGTTGGCATCAAGAGGTTGAGTCTGGTTCTCGAACAGGAATATATTGTTGTCGTCCTTGTGAGGGTAAAGCGTAATCTGCTGCTGCTGACTGCCGGTGGGGTACATCAAGGGGTGAGAATGAAGGTAGCCTCCCTGGGTGTTGACGTGTCGGATAGTTACGCGGCTGCCAAAAGCAACGTCGACCGGTACATCTTGCATGCCCTTGTTATTCAACGTCGCCTGGAATTCGGAGCTCATGAATCCGTCGCCGTCACCGGGGTTAGATAGGCAGAGGAAGTGAATAGAGAACATGGCCATATAGAAAGTGATAGGGATCACAATCAAACAGAAGGCACGCGCGAGGAAGTGCTTAGCGAAGATGCGCATGGTGACGGTCTTCGTGTCCCCGAGCAACACCCACAGCTGTACAAGGGTCAAGGTCCCAACCCAGGCGATCGTGAACAGGCCCACCCACTTGATGCTGACGGTGATTCCCATTCCTAGGCCGGTCATGACGAGCCAGAACCACCAACCGGCATCGAATGCCTTCGAAGGCCCTTGCTCATGTTGGTTGGTGAAGGACGAGAAGGCGAGAGCAGTGAATGCAGTCGCGGCAACGAGCGGGGAGTCGAGGAGAATTAGGCGCGCCTGGGTCAGGAGACCGTTCTCTGCATCGGGTATGAGCGCAAATTCGGCATCGGGTGTCTGAGATGGGGTGGGGAATGCCTACCAAAGACGATAAAGGCAGCGCCGAGCGCGGCGGTAGCCGTGCGGCAGCCGACGGCCTTCAGAGTCAGAAACATGGTCGGGACGAGAGCAATGCCGCAAAGGGCGGGGTACAATCGCATAGCTACGTAGGGAACACCGGGTTCGAGATAGTCCTTGCCGATCTCCTTAAAGTCGAAGTCGCCCTTGAAGCCGGCGAGCCAGCCGAACAGGGTAATGAGGAGCTTGGCCAACGGCGGGTGGACATCCATGAAGAACCTGCCCTTGATATACTTGGTCGCGAAGCCGCCGAAGCTGCAGAGAAGACCCAACATCAACACCGGCCAGGCCGATACCTAACGACGGGGAGACACTTACTGGACTTCGTCGAAGACCACACTCGTAGGCTGGTAGATGCGGAACAGGCGCACAATGGCTCCGAGGATGGTCAAGACGAGCATGACCTGGTAGTCGGAGACAGGCAGAAGGAAGACATCGTTGTCCTCGACGCCCTGGGAGGTGTAGTCATCGTGCGGCTTGTCGACCTGGTTCTTGGACTTCGGAGGTGCGTAGAGCTCGCCCTGGGGCGGCGGCGGCTTTGCCGAGGCTGGCTTGCCCATTGTATGCTGGCTGATGCGGGACGGGATGCGATGGTTTGTGAGGAGGACGGGTCGGGACGGTGGGGGAAGGGGAAAAGCACACAAAGAGGTGTTCGTGTCCTCTTCTAGACTCGATTCCCCGTCGCGGTGGCTCCGCCGTAACACCGCAGGCTTGCGCGGACGCGGCACAGGGAGGTAGGTAGCACAGGCCGAGATGGAAAAACCGGGCGGATTAAGGAAAGTCAAGAGTTAGAAGTCGTCATTACAAAAAGATGGAGCGGAGAAGGGGTCCCATCAAAGAGAACGGGAATGGTGAAAATCGGGTGGTCTCCCCCCCTTTGGATGGCAGTGCGGTGGGAGGAGGAAGAAGAGGAAGTTCTAGAAGGGCTGAAGGGAATAAGGGGGTAAGAGAATCGTGAAGCCTGGCAATTCTTTTTTTAATTCCTTAGTAGCGGTTTTCTTGTCTTGGGGGCGGACGCTGACAGCCTCTCTCTGCAGATAGGTAGCAGGCAGTCTGGCCTTTCTTCGACCTCGACGGTTGCGACGGGCTGGCGGTTGCTGGTCCTGACGCTACCTGTCTAGCGTGGGCCGGTCTGGGGCAAGGTAGACAGGTACATCCGCTGCCACGAGGAACGGCGACGGCGGCCGGGTACCGCACAAACACGACGCGACTTCGGACCTAGCCCAAGTCGGCTTCCATGATGCTACAGTGGCCTTATCCAGGCGAACGGATTCGCGCCAGGGGGGTCAGGGCCCGTAGCAGTACATGTACCTCCCACCCAGCTGCATTCGCGAAGTCCAGCTGCATCAAGTACATGCGCTTCTGTGCAGGTCACAGAGTACCTCCAACTACCTAAGGTGGCTACCTGAGCATGACCCGCCTCACATGCCGTCGATTGGCTACGCGTCCTCGCGTCGACAGGGAGTAACATAACCTAGTAACGTGGGCGTACGAGGTGTACGTAGTAGCTATCTTAGGAGGTAGGTACCTCTACCATACTACTAGAGGCTTACGAGGTACCGACGTTGTACCGTAAGAGAAGACGTCGCCTCGCACCCGTACCTCGTAACTCTGGAATGCGGCTTCAGACATTTGTCTAATGTGCGGCAGATTGGAGTCATCAACCTAGTTGTGCCTTTCATCATTACCGCAAAGCCACCTCCGGCAACCTCCTCGTCGATGTGTTCGGCATAGACTGAGGCGGCTATCGTTTAATTAGGTAGTTGCAAGTTAGAGGTCAGGCAGGTTAGGAGGTACATCTGAAAGCCCGCGCAGACCCCGGGGGTACCGTAGGTACCTGCCTGAATATGAGTACACAGACGGTAACAAGGGGATCCTAACGTCGCCTATTTGAGGTATCGATACGCGGTACCTGTATGTACCTACCTGAACCCCTAACTCAAAGGAACGTTGCCTCTAAAGCCTTATTAGCCCTCTAGTACCATTGGCTCGGCCTACGGACCATTCACTTAATCCGCGCTCGGCGGCTGTGGCGGGCTCATGTCATCGGCTGGTGGCTGGATGCGAACTTGACTTGGATCCGGCCGACAATTTCGTCGAAGCTCCTGCTGCAACATCGTCGCGACGTCTTGGCCAATACCTTTTTCTTGCGCCTCCACGTACACCTTCGCGTCCACATCTCAGCCGACGCTCCCTCGCTGTCATCAATATGGCTGCTACCACTAACGGTGATGCGACGGCGATTTTAGATGAGATAAAACCCCCCCAGGGCCTTGTTTTGCCCCCAAGGGAATTTCGGAGTGAGTGGCGGAATGGGATCCTCCACTTCGCCTCGCGCCGAGCTCACACTGACCCTGTGCCGATAGACATCCTCGAGAAGACCGCCGGGTACGTCGCTAGAAACGGGATCGCCTTTGAAGATCGCATCCGAGAAAAAGAAAAGCACAATGCCATATTCAGTTTCCTCAGCAATGCCGACCCCTACAACCCCTATTATCTGTGGAGGCTGAGCGAGATTAAGGAGGGTCGCGGCACCGCCGTCGCCGCTGGCCGGGCCGGCGAAGCTGCCGCTAGTGTCGAGGAGAAGCCCGCAGGCCCTCCCAAGCCTCCGGACTTCCAATTCTCCGCGCGTATGCCCAACATCAGCGCCCAGGATCTCGAGGTTGTGAAACTGACTGCGCTGTTTGTTGCAAAGAATGGCAGGCAGTTCATGACCGCGCTCTCCCAAAAGGAGACTGGCAACTACCAGTTTGACTTCCTCAGACCGAATCATAGTCTTCACAATTTCTTCCAGCACCTCATCGACCAATACTCCATGCTCCTGCGAGCTGGCGGCCTCGACGGCGAAGGGGGCAGGGTTCAGCAAGAGCGGGTCGCCGAGCTCCAGCGGAACGTCGATGACAAGTACCACATATTGAATCGCGCTAAGCAGAGGGCCGAGTGGCTAAAGCACCAGGAGGACGAGAAGCAGAAGAAGGGAGAAGAGGAAGAGAAGGAGAGGTTGTCGTACGCTCAGATCGATTGGCATGACTTTGTCGTCGTCGAGACGGTCGTCTTCACTGAAGCCGATGACCAGGCAAACCTGCCTCCGCCGACCTCCCTGTCTGACCTACAATACGCCTCCCTCGAGCAGAAAGCTAGGGTATCCGTCAGTGCTAATCTGCGTATTGAGGAAGCTATGCCTACGGACGATGACAACGCCTACAACGCCTACCCGCCACAGCCCAATTATAACCTCCCACATCACCCGGTGCAGCCAATACCGCACGTTCCCGGAGCACAACCGCTTCCGTCTGCGCCAGCTCCCGCCCAAAGTGCGTATCATATGGCCCCGCCGCCGCCACGCCCGAACGGCACCCAAGAGGACGAGGAGGCGCAGCGGATACGGGAACGGGAGGAAGCTCGATTGCGTATGCAACACGCCCAGGCTGAGGCGAAGGGCGGTGCCGCCCCGATGAAGATCAAGGAGAACTACGTGCCCCGCGCCGCTGCCCGAGCCGCCAATCGGCAGGGGACCCAGATGGCTCTCTGTCCCAATTGCAACCAGCAGATTCCTATGAACGAGCTAGAGGCTCACATGAGGATCGAGCTGTTGGATCCCCAGTGGAAGGAGCAAAAAGCGAAGGCCGAGTCGCGTTACGCGACTACCAATTTGTCGCATGCCGATGTGGCCAACAACCTGAAGCGATTTGCCAGCCAACGCGGCGACCTGTTCGACGGCGTCACGGGGCAGCCCATTACGGAGGAGGAGATGGCGAGAAGGAAACGGGCTGCTATGAACAGCTTCGACGGCAATCCTGACGGCAGGAGCCAAGCACACCTCAACCATATGCAGAGCGTCAACGTCGACGAACAGATCGCGCGGATCCACCAGCGATTTGCCAAGGACGGCCAGCAGGGCCACTGAGACCAGGCGGTCCGGGAATCTTCACCCGTCCCAAAAAAAAAAAAGCATGTATTGTATGGAGGAAATGGCCGGCGCGCGGAATCACACAAAGTACTACGGAGGGGGGGAATGGGGGGAGGGAGGATCTCGCTGACGGGCGGAGCGCCTTGAACCACGATGACATCCCCCCTCCCCCCCCTCCTACCCGCAGGGTCCATTCCGCGACGACGGGAAGCTATCCCTCGTGCGGAGGAGTCCTGCGCAAGGCGATGATGCATCTCGGTCGGAACATTACACAGGTAAACAACACCCTAGAAATCATAGCTCGTCTACACAAAATGCTCATACTCTAATATAGCTCTGTCTGCACCCGCGGTTGAACTTTGTATAGTGGCCCCGCTCCCTCCCCCCAAAACTGTCCCGAGTGCTGTCGTGCCCATCGTTATCCTCCGCGGCGAGGTGATCCTCCCCCGCTGTGTCGGCGTGTAGCTGTAGGTAGCGTCTAGCGCGTGCGTTCCGGCCGCCGACTGCTGCCGCCTCGAGAGACCGCGGCGGGGCGGGGATGCAACCAAGCGTGTTTTTTGGTCCATCTGCATATGTACGTGTTCGCACGCAGCGTTCGTATACCCATAGAAGGCGGAATATCGACGCATGGGCGTTTCTTGCTGTAATACATGTATATATATGTGTGTGTAGCTCTCCGGTAGTCATGATCATATCAGGATACAAATACTACAATTGACAGTGCATCAGGGGCCTCAGTTGTCATCCGGGTGTAGTTTAACTTTTGTACACGATTCGTACAATTCGGAGGGATCCCCCCGCCTGCCGAATATTCAGCCTCCCTGCCGCACCCTTGCCACCGCAGCGGTCCCCCGCCCCCGTGTCCCTTGGGTAGTGTGCCATTTTTCTTCTATTCTACTGCCTGGTCTCTGCCCGCCCGCCCCCGCAGTCTCATTCGACGTCTCCGCCCTCGCTGTCCTCTTCGTCCTCGTCGTCTTCCGCTTCGGAAGAGGATTCCCCCGAATCCTCGTCGAGGACGTCCTCGACGATCAGGTTCCCCGACCGGCCGATGGCGTCGGCCAGCGTAGCGGCCGCGTCCGGCTCGTACACCCGGCGCGGCATCAGCGACGCGATCTGGAACCGGTACTCGTGCTCGTAGTCCTCTGGCTTCTGCGGCGCCTCACCCTCGCCGCTACCGCCCTCGTCCTCTCGCGGCTCTACGCCGTCCTGCTTCCCGCTCTCGGCGTCGAGCAGCAGATCGTAACACTCGACAAACGCGTACAGCTCCTCGACCGTCGTCGCCGGCGCGAACCGGCGCACAATCCTGCCACCGCCGGCGGAGCGGGCCTCGGGCATCTTGAGGGCGAGGCGCACGACGCCGCTACTAGCATCCGCGGCGTCCGGCTCGGGAGCGACGGTGCTCGCGCGCCAGCGGCGCCACTGCTCACGAAGCACCCGGCGGCGCTCCGCGGCGGCGGCCTCCTCACGGGCCTTCTTCTCGGCGAGGGCGGCGGCCTCCTCAGCCTCGCGGCGCAGGCGTGCACGCTCGCGGTCGCGAGCGAGCGAGCGCTCGTATGCCGAGTCTTGCTCCGTTCGCAGGGACCGGGCGACCTCGTGGGCGGTGCGCTCGGCCCGGACTCCAGCCAGATCCGGCGCGTACTTACCAACGGCGGTCTGTAGCTCGGAAAGGTATGTCGCCGGCGACAGGGGACCAACCAGACGCTTGACAATGCTCATGCGTGTGCTGGCCCCACCGCCGCCGTCCCGAGGTGTGAGGCACACGAGGCACGAGAAGGGGAACTTGGTGCAGTTGTACTCGGCGGCGACCTGGTAAGCCTCCGAGTCAAGCACGTTGCCACCCCAGAGCACGATGTTGTTCGTCGGGTCGCTGATAAAGCTGACGACCTCGGGCGAGAGCAGGGTCTCCCGCGTAAAAGACTCGGTATCGTCGTGTTCAGGTGACATCAAGACGATCAGCAGGAACTTGAGATCCTTCTTGGCGAGGTCGAGCGCCTGGGCGAAGCCACCCTCATAGAAGGGCAGGCTACTGCTCCCGTACTCCTCCTCGAACTCGCGCTTGAATCGAGCGGCCGTGTCGCGCGGCATCAACATGCGCCGGCCTCGCGTGCCCTTCCAGCCGCTCGTCATGCTCGTGGTCAGGGCTCGGGGTCGAATCGAGGCCGGGAGGAAGGCGAAGATATATAGGAAAGTTCGGAAGAGCGTCGAGAAGGCTCGGTATCCGAAGTTAAAGGGAGCGAATATTATAGCGAGGAGGAACGGCGGGCGGTGTGTTGTCGGAGGCTGCGGCACAATTCGGGGCGCGGGATCGGGTCTGAACCGTGGAGGTAGCCGTCCGAAAGGCTGGCCGGCCGTCACGAAGGACTCGTGCAGATTCTCGTGCCGGATTTCTTGCTGTGGGATGTGGTTCTGTGTTGCCCTGGCCTCGGCTACGGGGTCTGGGCCCTCGCCGTCAAAGAACTTAGCGATCGCTATCTGTACGTTCCATTGCGATCTCTCCAGCAGGGGCACTGCGTCCTTAACGTCTTGTGCCGTGACCTGGGTGTATTGTTCGAGGACGGACTGCTGCTCCTGAGAGAGCCGGCCTATATCAACATCGGCGTTGTTGCTCGCCATCTTATCGGTGTAAGTAGGTAGCTAGGGCCCCATGCGAACGAAGCCGGAAGATGGCTGAGAGGGAAGCAAATGACACGGGTTCAGCCGCGGCTTCTGTCTAAATATAAACGATCGATCGATCGTAGATACGCAGCAGGTCCTAAAAACCAAGTGATCCCCTTGCTCAATTTAACCTCCGGGCTTTGACCCAACGGGAATCGTGTGTGGATGTCGGGGTTATATTCGAACGTAGCCCAAGGCTACAGGTCGGCTGGTGCGTGACAAGGTTACAGGCACCGTATGCTATCGAAACCCTGGATGACCCTTACGTAGCAGTTTCAAAGGTCAAGTGAAGCATCGCGGCTAGGCGTGGTTCTGACGATCAGGATAGGCCGAGTCAGGGTTTAAATGGTGAGCTGGTGAGGATGCCGTGTTCATTTGCTGCCGGGCCCACAGGAAGACGAGATTGACAGGTACAGGCAAAGGTGACGACAGCAGAGCAGAGCAAGCGAAGACGGAGAGTTGTCCCTGGCTAGAGACCGACGCCGACTCAGTACCTCCTTCAGTCCCCAAGGTAAAAGTCCGACGCCAAACCGGGGCTGGCCTGTACTATAATGTGAGTTGGACGCCCGTACTCTTCACAAGTACAAACCTTAGGCTGGCAGAGGTAGGTAGATAGGAGGTACCTATGCTAAGCAGGTACTTGGAGCTGGCAGATATCTGCAAATCTGCCTTGCATACAAAGGCATGTGCCTCCAGAAGGCAGTCTGTATCCAAGGTACCCACCCACCCAAGGTACCTACAGGCTACTGCCTTCAGATTGAATGATAGGGAGTGGAACTTAAGCCTACCCTAGGTACCTTTATTCACGCCCAGTGCAGGTACCTGCCACCTCCCAAGGCCAGGTACCTGAGCTAGGAGGTACCTACTAATATCACGGAAGGGTAAGGCAAGGTACTAAGTACATGTGCCACGCAACGCACCACCACCACAGGTACCACCTCACACCTACATCGGACTTATGAGTAAACAGGTAGAAGAAGGCTCCTAATGAACGTGCATTCCGAGGTAAGTACCTTAAGTACCGTAGGCTAACAGGCACACACCCACCCAAAGGCATCTATCATGAAACCTCCCCAGATACTTGGGTACCTATCCATCTACGCAGGCCAAGGCTGACGGAGAAGGGAGAGGGCAAATAGTGCTTCTTGGCAACCACCAACCAATCAACGGGTCGTCTGTGGTGACTAAGCAGCCGTCATCCCACTACCACCTCCGAGATTAGAACCTCAACTATTAGATATACATATCCGTTCACTGCAGTTAATTCCAACCCGCCCGCATCCTCTCCTTTGTATCCCTTATTGCCGCCCTCGTCCACGCCCTTCTCGAGGCCCAATTGATCCTCGCAACTCCCCGTGGTCAACCCTCTCCCCCCGCTCTCTGTTGCTTGGTCTATGGGCGGGTTCTCGCCCTTTTTCTGCCGGGGAAAATGGGAGTGCTTTGAGGTCTTCTGTAGGTCCATTCACGTCTCCCTCCTCTGCCCCTCCCACCCGGCCATCTGCACCCGTCCCCAGCCAGGGCATCTGAGTTAACCAGGTTGCCCAAATGCACGTAGGGGTTGTATGAACAGGGGCGGCGACCACCTTCCTCCCGACCCGACCATCAGGACTGCTCCATGACGAGAACTCCCAAGCCCTCCCGTACAAATGGCGAACACGCGCTTCGGAACTGCGGACAGAGGGAGGCAGATGGCCTCTCCAAGACCCAAGACACGCGGTAAGTGCTTGCACTCTCCGAATTGACAGGCGCGACATACATGGCCAGCCTTTCCCCCTACCCGCGTGCCTCTCGGAAATAGATGGATGCTGTTGGGACCCCTTCTGACGCGACAACCCGCTCCTTCTTAGATACAAAGGACACTCTCTGTCGGAACGTCTTGATATATGGCCATTGCCGCTACGAAGACCAGGGATGCGCCTTCAACCACAATAAGGACACCTCTAATTTGATGGACACGTAAGTCATTCTATGCTTGCTTCACTCCTCTTCGGGTTCCTTACTCCTCCCCGTTCCTGTATCCGCACCACTGGCTCGATGTCGTCTTTTGCGGATTTGCTCGTTCGAACCCCTACCGTAGTTCTGGACTGGCCTACATAGAGGAAATAGATGCCAGCGGGGGATAAGTGGCAAAGAGCCAGGGCAGTTGTCGTTCAAACCCCGGGGTAGTGTGCGTGGCCAAACAAGGGCAGGCCAACTCCGCCATCTTTTTGGGACCCCAGTAGAGCGCTCGTCAGCCGATCCTGACAATGACGATCAGAGGTGGAACGGACGGCTCTATTTCCGGGGAACACTCCTCTCCAGGTTGTGGGCGACGTCAATTCTCCCTGGACGGCCTGCCCTTCGCAACCCAATCTCCTGGTGCTACTACGTCTGCAACAGGCAGAACGCGCCATTCGGAAGCGAGACGTCAGGCGTCCTCCTTTGTTGGTCCCCAACCCGTCAACCAGGCACAGCACGCAGCGGATGCAATAGCTTGCCAGGTTGCTCGACCTGAACAAGGCTCAAATTTCTCGTCCCCCGATCGACCATTCCACGTGGACACTACTCTGGACTCCCTGTTTGCTCGTATGCCTGAGGCCGGGACAGAGCATGCAGCCATGTCTCCGTCTCGCAAAATAGACACAGGCACGTCGCAATTATCGAACCCGTCCCAGTCTACTCGGCAGAGACTAGGAGGCGTTGCGACTAGTACATCGAATTTGGTAGCTGCTGGTTTAGGGGCGGCCAGGAGCTTTAGCAATTCGCTCGTGTCTTCGTATAGTGATCCTACTGACCACGTATCTAGTGGTAGCGCAAAAAAGTCACTGAATGTCGATTCTCCGTCGTTTACCCCCTCTCAACTTGGAGGCAAAAAGTCCAATTTTTCGACTAATGCCACACCTTTCACCCCCAGGGGCGCCAACGCCAGTGAGTAGGCGGATATGCGACTTTTCCCGCTGAACGCGTGCTCACTTATACGATAGCCACGACTACTGCCCTGCAGCAAGACACAGGTGCCGCGTTATATAAATCGGCTCCGTTTGCAGATTTTGCCCCCCAGAATTATGATCTGAACACGGCCGTGAGTTCCAGATGGTTCCTCTCTGAATCCGGAAAATTGACAGGCCTAGACCACGACCAACGGTTCGACGGAGAGCGGATCTCTCGGCTACGATCCATTTTCGATGCCTAGCGTCAGCCAGGCGCTTCCATCAACACAGTATAACCCGTACGCCGAAGAACATAACGCTTTAGCGGGAGCCAGTGCGCCGTACTTCTCTGCTCCCAATTCGTATACAACCCCGTCACAGCCCGTAAGGCCCGATCCCCTAGTTGCCTCCATTTGGATTCGTTACCTAACTACTTAAAGCTTCAATACCATCTCTACTATCCGATCGCTTCCGCGCGAGAGACTTTGCAGCCCTACCAGCGACAGGTACATGACTTGTTCATTCCCGAGTCACTCCGGGAAGACCTTCAGAAAAAGTCCGAGGCGGCTAGACAAGTCCTCCCCAGTCAGCCCGGGGTACAGCTGCCCACCCTTCAACATTACCACTCTCTCGTTCCTTTAGATACAAAAATTCGAGGCACAACTAGTACCTTCGGGCTTTCCAGCTGGGTATTTAAAGCGACGTCTCGTAAGAACGGCAATATTTTTTGCCTGAGACGTATCGAAGGTGAGAGTGCTCTCTAGCCCACACGCGGGCGGGTCCTAACTGGATGAATGGCAGGATTCCGCCTGACGAACGAGGAGGCAATCAAGGCAGTGAACTCGTGGAAAAAGATCATACACCCAAATATAGTCACGACTATAGAAGCGTTCACTACGAGGGACTTTAACGATAGTTCTCTCGTATTTGTACACAACTATCACCCATTGGCAAAGACTTTGGCAGAGCACCACTTCCCCAGTAACCGATATGGCCGTGCAGCTCCCGTATCGGAGAAGGTACTGTGGGGATATCTAGTCCAGCTTGCCAGCGCGCTCAAGGCGATTCACAAAGCGAAGCTAGCGGCACGATGCATCGATCCTAGCAAGGTGGTGCTAACAGATAGAAACCGAGTCAGGCTCAGTGCGTGTTCGATCCTAGACGTGCTGCACTTTGAGGTACCTCGTCGAGTGGAAGATTTACAACAGGACGACTTCATTAATTTGGGCCGGCTTGTGTTAAGCATCGCAACCAATACGCCCACACGAAATCTCGGCGATATGCGGCTACCTTTAGAGCAGCTAGGTAGGACATACTCCCTGGAGCTGAAAGAAAGAATATCTTGGCTCCTCTGCCCGCCACAAACTCTAGCCGGGAAGACAGCGGAACATTTGGTCTATGATCTCGCCCAGCACGCAGACGACATGCTAGTGGCGTCGTTCAACGCCCACGATGAGAATATCGCACACCTGAGCAAGGAACTCGAAAACGGCAGACTAGTGCGATTGATGGCAAAGCTGGGCTCCATTAACGAACGGCCCGAATTCGACAACGATCCTAGCTGGGCCGAAACTTCAGAACGCTACACTCTAAAGCTGTTTCGGGACTACGTCTTCCATCAAGTTGACGCCCAAGGAAACCCAGTTGTAGATCTAGGGCACATCATGAGTTGCCTCAATAAGCTAGATGCCGGCATCGACGAGAAGATTTACCTTACAAGTAGGGATCACCAGTCGACATTTGTAGTCTCATACAAGGAATTGAAGAAGCAAGTCCAGGGGGCCTTTGGCGACCTACTTAAGGCGAATAACAAACAGCAGGCAAATCGAAGCTACTAGGATGGTCAGGCGGCTGCCGTACGCGTGGGGTCGGCAGATCAGTCCCTGTCAGCCCTCGACACAGAATCCACATCTCATACCGGCAAGACTTATATAGCAAGTGGTCTCCCAGGCGCGACCAAAGTTGGAAACGATACAGGATTTTAACGATGTTCAGCAAGGAGCTTGTTTGGAGGTATCGGATATCGAAACACGTACTGAAAGGAGTACCCAATTACAAGAACCTACGACTTGAGAGAGAGAATGCAACCAGGCAAAAAACAAGACGGCTGAGCGTTTTCCACGCAACGACGTCGACTCAGCCCCAGTCCCCATATCTAGTCGCCGGCGATGTACCGACCATTCGGAAGGGAATTCGAATGTGCCTGATCGAAGATGTTACCACAGCTCCGTGAAGGGAATTTGGACGAAGAGGCCAGGAATCGTGGCGTAGCGTATTGGATGAGATCAGAACGGCATTTCAGTCGAATGGCGCTGATTCGAATGCAGAGGAGAACGCTGAAGCTCTCTCTGTTGCATCAGGACTAGTTGGAACTGCCCCTCCCCTCCCTCCCTCCTCTCACCCTCCCATAGAACAGGAAAGGGCCATGTGAAGGCTGGTAATATCAAGGGGACAGTTAAGCCGACAAAACACTTGCTACCTTTTCTTTATTTTTTTGATCTTTTCTTCCCATTTCTCATCCCAGTTCGGACAAAGCAGTCGCGAGCGCGCGCACACGAGAAAGAGAGAGACGCACGCACACAGGGGGGAGGGGGGAGGAGATACGTGGAGAAGGGAGCTCCACGCTGGAGGAGGAAGACGAGGTAGAGCTCTCGCCTCATGTCGTCCCCGGGAGAGAGAGCTCGCCGAAATAGGAGATCGCCAGCTTAGAAGCGTATACAAAGTAGAAACCCGAAATTTCCACACGCTCCTTATATAACCTGCCCCCCCCCCCCTTGGACACCGACGGGGACGCCTAGCGCTACCCCCGAGGTAAACATAAAATACGTAAATGCTTCTCAGATGAGTGGAGAGGGAGGTGATGGTGCCCGAGTAAACGAATAAGTACCCAAGGTAGGCGAACAACTGACGTCAAGTGAGTGTTGCCTTAGGTGTCCACGGTGTCACAGGGGTAGAGAACAGAGATCGACGGATAAGCAAATTGGGGGGGGGGGGGGTTCATGTTATCATCATATTGCGAAGAGAGAGGGTAAACCTAGTAATATGGTATAGATGTACCTGATAGCGCGCTCGTGTATTGGGTCCCGCCCCGTTTGCGTGCGGCCGCGGATGCGCTCTCGCCAGACCCGGCCCCCGTACGTGTCCCCGGACTCCAGAGATTCGACATCTGCCGGCGATAGTACCTACTATTTTCATTTTCCCATTTTCCACTTTCCTTCTCTTATCCTCCTTCTCCTTCTCGGCCCCCTTCCTCGAGGCGCCAAAGGTGCAGGATCCAGGCGTTCGATCCCGGTAACCCACCTGCCAGCAGCAGCAGACGGATCCCGCCCCGTGCGAGAGCAGCGTCGTCGGGCGCGCGAGCGGAAACTCACCGGGGAGAGGGGGGGCGCGCTCAATCCTCGCTCTGCTGCGCGAAGGGGTTCTCGATCTCCTCGCTCCCGTTGACGGGGCTGATCACCACCAGGAGCGTGCCCCGGACGACGACGAGGCCGAGCGCCCGCGCGGCTTCCTTCCCTTCGTCGTCTATATGGGGAGGTTGGGATAAAGCGTTAGCCTCGGCCTACCGACGTGCGACCGAAGGCGCAGCAGCGCTGCCGCACTCACCTCGCATGACCTCTTCGACGTCGTCGAGGACCAGGTTCATCAACGCGTCGTAGCCTTTTAGCGTGCCGGTGACTAGTGCGACGAAGCTAGGGTTAGCCCGACGGAACGGTTCCGAGCCCCCCGGGGCGAGGGGACACAGCGGACCCCGCGCCCCGCGCGCGATTATGGGGAATAGTAATTGGGGAATAGTAATAGGTGAAGGAGAAGGCGGAGGCGACAGAGGGAGAGAAAAGGGGGGGAAGAAAGAAAGAAAAAAAAAAGAAAGACCACATACCCTCCCGGCCACCGTTGAACTTGACTGTGATCTTCTTGTCTACGTATTTGCTTAGGTTGAGGATGTTCTCCTTCTTGGGGCGCTCCCGCTCCTGTCCATGGGCTCCGCCGCCTGGGCCCGAGTCAGCTCCGTGGCCGCCTTCCCTTCCGCCGCCTCGTCCGCCGCGCGGTCCGCGGGGATGTCCGCCGCCTCCACGGCCGCCGCGGTAGTGGGCACGGTCGGCCATCGCGCGTAGCAGCGTGTAGGTGGCGCGTGTGGCGATGTTAGGCTGGGCGGGACTTGGGTCCGGGGTCGCGTAGAAATTAAGAGAGGGTACGGAGGAGGGAAAGGATTGGATTGAGGGGGGGTGGGTGTAGGGGAAGGGGGTCGAGGTAGGGCAAGGCAGGACAGGGTTCGACGTTGACCGGCGGAGAGAGATGGAGAGAGAGAGAGGGAGGGAAAAAAAATGCGGTGAGGATTGAGGGGAAGGGGAAGGGATGGACTAGCTTCGGAAGCTGTGCGGATGCAGAGATAGGGGGTTCCGATAAGTCTAGACCGTTCGTTGACGAGTTCGTGTCACAGGCTAGTCGACCACGGTTGCAGTGAGCGGCGACGGACGGGGCGCCGAGATTGGATGAGGTCGATGAAGGACGTCGTCGGGTCTTGCCAACCTTGTCACCATTCGGTCCGGGGGCCAGGCGACGCGTTTCTGGGCACGTCAGATGACGAATGCCGGATGGGCGGCTGAAGGGGAGCGTGTTGGTGTGGCGGGCCAGAGCCAAGCAGGGCAAGGGTTCGTCGGGCCTGATAAAGCTGCCTGCTTGCTTGTCTGTCTGTCTGTCTGTCCGTCCGCGTGCGGCCGTCCTCGTGCGCGCGTGCGTAGGTGCGAATGTACGTAGACGTGCGTCTCGCGCTTCTTCCTGTCTGCCCGGTCGCTGCAGTGTGTGTCGATCACGGGGGTGCGTGGGAAGGGAAGGGGGGGAGACCGGGTTGGTTTTTCTGCTTCTTCTTCTTCTTCTCCTCCTTCTTCCTCGTGACGTCGGCCGCCTATGAATGGGCCGGAGGATGAGGACGGGTGGGACTGGCGCGGCAAGGCTGTTTTTTTTCTCTTCCTTTCAGAGGAACCCAAGGCTGGTAGGGAGACAGAGGCAGGCCCGTCGGAGATGGGGTGGGATGGAGACGGAGGGCGGCGATTGGGGCAGGGTGAAATAAAATGAGGGGCAGGCCGAGTTTCGAGAGGCGAAGCGGAGGACGCTGCCGACAATTACATAACCCCCGCTCCCTCTCCCCAGCGCGCGCTGCTCCGTAGCAGGGTACCTGCTAAGTAATCCGGGAGCAGGCGGGTTTTTGTTCTGGAACCCTTCCACCCAACTTGTTATGGCCCGTACCGTGTGAAGGGGAGGGAAGGGGGACGGAGGTTATCCTGCGCCCAAGGCACTATCCAGCGCGCTAACAGCAGCATTACCATGGAGTAGGGTTAGGTAAGGTTGCTCGCTCTCGGCTGCCAGCGGTTGACGGGGGGGGTTGAGTGGCTTCGCAAGCCACTGCTGGGGCCGCTAAGGCTTAACCCCCCGTGCTGCCCGTGCATGGAGGGGGCTCAGGGGGAGGGGAGGGGGGGGGCCCGAGGGGCATCCGAAGAAGAGGTAGGTACCTAGCCTACTACCTAGACACATAGTACGACGCGGCGGGTACTTCTTAGACGGGCAGGTACCACGTAGGCAGGGAGGTACCCGATGCGATGCCCGCGGCCGGCAGGAAGATGGCTATTTGGGGCATTCCGAGCAGTTTGCTACGTTAGGTAGCCCTGGGTGGTCATGTACTCATATACCTGTACATAGGTCTAGGTAGGTAGGTAGGTATTGGTATACCTAGCTATGCATGCGGGCTTACACTGCCTGGCAGGTACCAGCATGCGACAGCGCTGTCAGTGCCCTGCATGGGCTGGTAGGGATTGTCGGCTGGAGAGCTGCGTCAGGGGGAACAAACGTCAGGCCCAGTTGGACGGCCTCCTCCAACAGCGCATAGCGTACCTAAGGCAGGTACCTAGGCGGTACCTCGTAGAGGCTGAGAGGTGTAAGTGCCCGTCGAACGTGTGTACTTGGCCTGATGCAACACGTAGATAGCCTAAGGTACCCTACACGTGCGGATCCGTCAGTTAGGTACCTGATGTCCTGCTAGCCGTGCCGGTGCAGCATGCCGGATCAGAGGTGCTACCGCCTCGAGGAGCGGCGCTAGGTACACGATATGTACCTGGTGGTGGCATGTAACCCTCCAGGATTCATCCGCTCCTGCAGATGACGGAAGTACCTACATACATAACCTGCCTCTGCTGCTACCTTACCAGAACACCACACTTACACCGGGCATTTCCATCTCGACGCCAACGCTGGGAGTGACTGACCGAAGGGCAATACATTGACCTTGGCTACATACATCCTTACCCCCGTATATCCACGGACTCATGCCATTGACGGCCGAGGATCGCATGCGGGGTTTGTGACAAATTTTAATTTCAGGCCGGCCGGCGATTCGTAGCATGCCATGTATCCAGGATCAGATTTGTGTTCCTGTAGAATGTAGGTAAGATCATTTTTCACATGACAGCTATCCTGGCCGTCGTGTGTTTTTTTGTCGTTGTTCTGGACGGGATATGTAGACTGATGCGATCCCTTAGGTACCTCTCACCCAGCGTGTGACAAGGGGAGGTCGTTATACCAATCTCGCGGCGTGTCTGGACGGGCTAGTCTTGGGTGCCATGACCCCCATATCCCTCATCGCATGCTGATCTGGGAGCATCCGAGCTAAGAGTTTCCCCCAGCATCAGTCGTTACCAGATCGTGCCCATCCGAAATTTTCCATCCAACGCAGCGGTGCAACGCGAGCCCGTCGCCGTACGTACGTAGGTACCGAGGCTCCAACGCCAAGCTGGTGTGGCTTGCCGATCCTTTCCTCGCTCCGCGACGCGGCATGGGATCACATAGTGGGAAGACCCCAGGAGAAGCGGAAATTTCGGCGTGGATCTTCGCCTGGATGCGGTTAGGAGGTCGGGGGCCGTGGTGCGGTTAAGGTGGTCAGTGTGGTCAGCGCTGGCCAAGGGGAGACGAGAGGGACGCGTCGGAAGGAGGAATTGTGAGGCGATCGGCACCGGGGGGGTGGGAGGAGATGGGTAAAAGATAGCTATCGGTTTCCATTCCGCTGCGGGTGTACATACATACATACATACACGTACATCCCATCCACCCATCTACACCCATCCACCCATCCAGGCAGGCAAATAGGATGTGCGAGTAGGCACCTAAGCTACCTAGGTAGGTATGTATCTACGTACATACCTTACATATGTGGCATGTATGTATGTACCTAATGTACATACATGGATCGAGACCTTGCCGTTGATCTATTAGAGCCTGGAGAATCCCACGGGATAGTCACATGGGCCACATTGCCTATCCTCCCTCGCCATCGAAGCCCGCGCGTGGCGGGGGTAAGGCGGAAGACCAGAAATAACCCTAACGGGAAGACGCAAAGACACAGAAGACAAAAGAGGTAGCCTTTCAATTGAAGATGGAACCCGTCGAAGCCCGCCTGCAATGCATGGACACCATATGAGACTCGATGATGTAGGGGCGGACGGGAAGGGTACATGGCTATTAATTGCTGGCTCCATTCCGCGTAGCATGACGACCTATCATGTTTCCACAGGCCAATTATAGAGCTGGCTTGGTGCTGTCCCCGAACACGACCTCGGGTACCTGAGGCAGAGAGGTACCTACCTTGCCTACCTCCTAGTAACCTGTAGGTACCGTACCTACCTGCTGACCACCGCTAGATTGGGCACCTGGGCACGTACTCAGCAGGTACCTGCTCTGGTACCTCAATCGCACAGCATTCCGCCATCCGTCGATCCGTAGGCTAGAGGCCGGGACCTGATGGTGGTGGCAGCTGTACTAGGGCGCCCCTGGGAGGAACCCCAAGGACCTTACCTGCCCGTTAGGCAGGTTGGTACCTACCTACCCACCTAGGTACCTAAGGTACCCAAGGTAGAGAACCGAGAACAGAACATGGGAGGGACGAAGGGGAGCTACACGACGTGTATACCTTAGGTAAACAAGCCTCAGGCCGGAAGAGAGAGAAGAGAGAGCGTGGGAAAAGAAACAAGACATCGGCAAGAACCAACAGGAGAGAGATGAAGTCGCAAATTGGCACGCTCGGGTGCTATTACCTAAACGATATACCTAAGGGCCAAACCGAGAAACGGAAAAGTGAGGAAAGGGCATCCCTACCTCCGTCCCGCGCAGGTACCTACCCACTTTGCCATTGGAAGCTACCTCGCTACCTCTCCCTCCTACCACCTCCCTTGGGAGGTACCTTATGGAGAGATGTATACATGGTACCTACCTACCTGCAACGCTACCACCTTGCTTGACCTCTGCCGCTGCCGCGCAGGTAGGAGGTAGGCAAGTACTATGTGAGCAGTTCATTTTTGAATATTTTTTTTTAATTCATCCCTCTCTCGCCCACCAACATGCTACCACCTTGACACAGGCACAGACGCATACAGACGCATGCGCACATACCTACATACCTACCTACCATACCTACCATACCTACGTACATCCATACCCCCTACATCCATACCACCTACATATCTATCCACATACATATCCACATACATATACACATACATACATACATACACACACACGCACACACACACACACACGCACACGCACACGCACACGCACATATCCGCGGAGAGCGAGCGAGAGAGAGAGAGAGAGAGAGGGATAGACGGAGTGGGAGAGAGGGAGAGAGAGAGAGGCACAGAGAGCAAGCGGGAGAGTGGGAGAGGGAGAGGGAGGGAGACACGACGGGGCAGCGCGGGAAAAACAGCACCATCCCCGTCTGCGATCCTCATGACACCAACCCTCTCTCCCCCATTGTATCTACCTCCCTCGTCTCCCTGCCCTATTATCTACCCTACCGGAACAAGGCGGACGATGCACAATACAGGCTCAACGACTATCTCTGAAGCCCCGCGCCTTTCGAATCCACCCCGGTTTCCGAGCTCCCCCTGTCCAGTCTGCTCCTCTGCACGCACGGTAGTTTACTCCGTATTTTCTATTTGTGTCGAGGCTGAGTAGCATCGTCACACTCATTCTGCTTACCTCTCGAAGAGATACCTATACATCCGCTCATACCTCCCCCGTCCTTCATATACATATACCTACCTACTCATCGTTACATCTTCCTCCTTATATCCCACCCTGCCTCCCCCCCCCCTCCTTCTCCCCCCCTCCCCCGGCATGCCTCGCTCGGCTTGCTCGCTCGCTCGTTCCAACCCTTTCCCTGATCCAAGTCAACGGGCACACGTGAGCCTTTAGATGCTGGAGATATCGCTTCTATGACCGCCGCCAAGCTCGAAAAGTTCAACAGCTCGGCAGACCTAATATCCCAAGCCTACATGCAGCGTCCGAGTTTTCTCAATCTTAGCCCGTCCACGGCTTAGGATATTTACTCGTAATAATACCTCCTCCCCGCCCCCTTTATTTGCCGCCCTTATCTTACAGCTGTCGCCTCGAACTCTTGGGTAGGAGCTCGCGGTACCAAGCGAATGCCCGCTCCTCCGTTATAATAACCCTATATATGTTAACCGTTCTTTGCTGTCGACAAAGTCAATCGGGTTGGGCGAACAGGTGTCCTAGGCTTGCTGGGCAAATTACATATCCTGATTCGTACGGTGGTTGAGACGGCGCTGGGAAAGAAGACGAAAACCGCCCTCTGAGGGTGAGGCGTGCCAGGATGGCCCACAACCCAGACTCCGATCAACATAAGCGGAAGCGGGACATATCCGACGACAATGGCAGTCAAGCGCCGCACGCTGACCGCATACCACAACCTCCTCCGCCCCAGTCAGGTGAGTTAGACGCGCTTATGGCTTACATCTATATGCATCTACACATAATTCCGTAGGTCGTCGCTGCTTCAAAGACACCTATCGGGATGCCCTACTCGTGGCGTAACTTGACCTACCTCTACAACCCCCCCCCTTCCCTTATGTTACTAGCCAAACTAGGCCGTGTTTCCCTCACTTTGGAGGCGTCTAGTCGAGATTCCCCTAGTTACGCACCGCGTCCGGCCCCTCTACGAATGAGGTAGTACTAACTAATGTCCAAGGCAATATAGTCCCTATTAACTACCTATCCAAAGCCCACTCGGTAAAGCTCAAACTCATACAGGGCGACGGTGAAACCTTCTCGGACGTCCTCACTCTAGTCAACGAGTACGAGGGTGAGCAATACTCGGCCCGCCACCTCCCCCATCCCCCCTCCCGTTCTCCGTAGCACATGTGGGCATTAACGTGGTGCTTAGGGGTGTTAAGTAGGCATGAGAGCCTTGCTTCCAATCTGGGCGCAAAACTAACGGGGAGCCGACTGCTTAAGGCGATGGAAGGGGCCTTCGAAGGCACCATAACGACTACGCCGCCACAAACGATGTTCGGCCCCGATCCCATCACCTGGCTCGATGTCGTCGAATTCGCCAAATCGAAACCCGCAGAATTTGTCCTGACTCCCGCGCCCAACGGCACGCGCTACTGCCAATTTACTCTGAAGGGCGCTCAGGTCGAGATCGGGGAGGACGACTGGAGGCTAATAGTTTCTGGCGCCCTCGATAGATTCCGACTAGTGCCGCCGCAGCCCCTGGAGGAAGACGAGACGGCCGAGCTAGCCACCCTCGAAATTGTCGAGCAACGCTTGCAAGTCTTGATCAAGAAAGCGGACGAGGTGGCGCGTAGGGCCCGCCAGCTCAACTACCACCTAAGCGGGCGAAAGGCATCCATACAGGCCCGTCGAACGTCGCAATCCACTCCTGGCCCCAGCTTCCAGGCTGTCAACCAACCGATCAGCTCGGGGACTAACCCGAGCTACGACTTACACGCGGATCTACTCCAGCAGTTCCTCGCCCCTTCTCAATCTTCCGGCCACCGGATATCTTCGGTAGGCTCCGTCCCGCCGACCCCAAATAACATGGGTACCGCGACACCGACACCGAGGGCGTCTATACAACAAGCCCTCCTAGCCAGCAACAGGCCCTCACCAGGATACCCTACCGAACCAGCAGTGAAGGATGTCGAGGAGGAGAACCGCGCCTTGGTCACGGCAAAGATCGAGAAGCTCGCGCGGGGGGATGTTATAAACCCCCCCTGCGACCGATGCCGAAGACTCAGGACTCAGTGCGTCAAGCACTTGACCGCGTGCCAGGGATGCACAAAGAAGCACGCTAGATGCGTGTGGAAAGGGCTCACGGAGGAGGAGGTGGCGTGGCTTAAGGGGGAGGTGGGTGCGGGTGGAGGGGATGGAGAGGAGGAGGGGGATGAGCTGAGAGACGTGGGAAGAGGCGGGTTCGGGTCGGGATCGCACCGCGACTTTGGGGAGCCACGGAGGGACTCGGAACGAAGCGACGAAGGCGGCCCGAGCCGGCCCGAGTCGAGGATAGCGATCGGCCGACTGGCAGAAGACGTGTGGAGAAAGGGACCCGAATCGTCGACGAGCGGCCGACAGGCGCACGAGGCCATGGACGTGGACCCGAGGGAGGGGCGGCAGGGGCAGGAATACCCGAGAGGCGAGATACCCAGCGGAGCGTATAGAGAGCAGAAATCCATGCTCAGCCATATGGCGTCGGTCGCGTCGGCGGCGGCGGATGCGGCAGCGGTTTCACGCGGGAACCAGCCGCATCCGGAATGACGGAGGCGGTAGCGAATTCACGTTCACGGTTTGTTGTATATAGACGGGAAAGCCCGTGTCTATATGCAGATTCCCCAGGTAGCTGTATATATATATATATACTTGGCTAATATACTCAACTACGGCATGCTTTGGAGGGGGGATGGGGGGGGGGGGGGGGGGGGGGGAGGAAGCAGGAGGGGATGAGGGGTTGGATAAAGGGAGGGTTAAGAAGCTTGGGGTGGGAAGTTAGCTTTGCAAGCGGCCCTTTTCCGGCACAGCCAGCCTAGTACCTAGTGTAAGGCTGCAAAGTGCATTAGGTACCTAACCTCCTAAGGGATTGGTTCCTCTAGGAGGTTACGTGCCCAAGCCGAGCAGGTTCAGGGGTTAGGAGGCAGGCACCTGGGCGCCCTGGATAGGAGGTTAGGTAGGTAAAGTCCTGCCCCCAAGTGGCGGAGAATAGGCGCGCGGATGAAGGAGATGTCCGGCGTAAACTGAGCCACAATGGAGAGAGGCACAAACTGGCCATTACATTGGAGCTCGTCAAAGGAGGTACCTTGGGGGGCGGGGCTAATGTGTGGCGCTGCGTTGGATGGTCGGCTGGTCCATAAACCGCCCACAAGCGGGCAAGAATTGGATGCGGGGACACAATGGCAACCTACCTACCCCCTAAAGACTTCACCCAAGAGGTACATGCCTTGGGTATCTAGGTACATCAGAAGGTACCTCCTAATGCACGGTAGGCTGGGTACCTAAGGTACCTACGTAGATGGGGTCACACAGATATTGGTACTGACATAACGCCGATAGCATGTCTTCAGCTAGGTACCTACCTACCTTAGGTAGGTAGACGGGCACTTATATACCTCTAGGTAGGCAAGTACTATAGTAGGTAGGTAGCAATATGCGCACCTCGCTAGTGTACCTAGAGGTGGGCTGCTTAACATAGGGAGGTACCTAGCTTCGTTAACGAGGTACCTACAGGCGAAGACAGGGTAAAGTAGGGTGGGGTTTGAGGGGCAAGCCGTTGAGTTCCAATTTTTGGTCTAAAAGGGAAAGAAAAAAATTTAATTGCGGTAGCAGGTTGTTGACGTCGTGCCTGCCTACATACACTACATACCACCACCCACCACTGACCATACATGTAGTCTTAATAGTAGTCTGCTAATTTTCAAACCTCTCTAGCTTAGACTCCGACCTCGACAATACCGCTTCTTTTTCTCCGTTACGTCTGCGACAATTGCTAGACATTCTGACCATCCAACACCTGCTGCGCGCCGCGTGTTGCGTCAACAATTCGTCGCCGGCGATCTCGGCCTTGCGCACAGAGCGCCGGTAATCGACTGCACCCCTCCTCCCCCGCCAATATTGCCTGCGTCCTACGCTCATTGATCGATTCTGCCGACCGATTGACCAACGAATCGACGACGGCCGGCTTCGTGTTGAGCCACCATGGCTCAGCCATCATCCCACGCGAGTTATACTATGCCCCGCACTCCCGGCCGCCGGGAGGCCGAATCCACGATGCCCCAGTTGCCATTATCCCAGTCGCCATTGCCCCAATCGCGCGAACTCGGTCTCGCAACTCCGGAGAGGACGGCAACGAAACCATCACCCTTTTCCAAATCATGGCCTCATCTCGTTGCTGGAGGGTACGTCTGTTTGCCGTTATCCAACACCGGCGGCATTCCCCCCCCCCCCCCCCCCCCTCCCCCCTCCCCCCTCTTCTACCACCCAGGATTGGTAGAAAGCCTTGCTACACGCGGATACGATGAGTCCGGGACCTACGCTAACCCTGGGGAACCCGCAGCGTCGGGGGCATGACCGCAGCTGTCCTCACTGCGCCTCTGGACGTCCTAAAGACGCGGCTTCAGTCCGACTTCTACCAGGCGCAGCTCCGCGCCGCGAGAGAGGCCGCCGGTCAGGCGCGGCTCAGCCCTCTACGGTCCGTCACCTACCATCTGACGGAGACGATGCAGATCCTGCGCGATGTACACCAACTGGAAGGGTGGCGCGCCCTATTCAAGGGCTTGGGACCGAACCTGATTGGCGTCGTCCCGGCACGAAGCATCAACTTTTACGTGTACGGCACCGGCAAGCGGGCGTATTCGCAGTGGACCGGTACCGCCGCCGACAACCCGGCCGTGCACCTGGCTAGCGCCGTGACCGCAGGCATCGCGACGGGCACGGCGACGAACCCGATCTGGCTTGTCAAGACCCGGCTGCAACTAGACAAGAACAACGCCGAGCGCAAGGGCGACGTGAACGCGCGGCGGTACCGCAACAGCTGGGACTGCATCCGCCAGGTGATGCGCGACGAGGGGCCGCGCGGTTTCTTCAAGGGCCTCAGCGCTAGCTACCTCGGCGTCACGGAGAGCACTCTGCAGTGGATGATGTATGAGGAGCTCAAGCGTCAGCTCCGCCAGCGCGAGGAGCGCGTGGCGCGCAGCGGTCGCCCTAAGACTTGGTGGGACCATACCGTTCATTGGACCGGCAACTTCATGGGTGCGGGCGTCGCGAAGGGGCTGGCATCCATCTTGACATACCCGCACGAGGTGAGTTCGGCGGACCCATATACCTGCTATAGCACCTACATACGCACCCGGGGATGATAAGGCTAACATTGCGGAACTGTAGGTCGCAAGGACACGTCTTAGACAGGCCCCGATGACAAACGGGCACCCCAAGTACACGGGGCTTGTGCAGTGCTTCCGACTCGTCTGGAAGGAGGAGGGTTTCATCGGACTGTACGGCGGCCTTACTCCGCATCTCATGCGCACTATACCCTCGGCCGCCATCATGTTCGGCATGTACGAGGGCATCCTAAAGATCCTTGGCGCCAAGAATTGAACGACTACGATGGAGCGAGGTGTCCCTTTTCCCCCAGCTCTCGCATCGATAACCGAAAACATCCGAACCGAGCATCCCGGGGCGGTTATGTAATAATGTTCGCACGAAGGTTCACCGGGACGGGGCAAAGGAGAGGGGGGGGCCATTGAAGGACGGCGTTGATCTTGGGGGGTTGGGCAGGGAAGCTATACGGCGCATTCGGGCGGCTCTAGAGGATACCCGGAACTTCCGACTGACAGGCTTTCTAGCACGAATTCGCGGTCGGTTCCTTGGCGACCATCGCCGATCACATACATACACGGCACACGCATCCGCGTACGCCTCCTTAACAAAGCTGTCTGACGTGCGAGAACGGTGCTTCCTTGTCTCTTCCACTCCCCCCTTATCCTTTTTTCTCTCCCCCCTGCTCCCACGCGGAACGCTGATATTATCTACTCGGAAAGACCATTCTACTCACTTTTGCTGTACCTCGACGCAACAAAGATTTGTATTATAGAAGACCTTGGGGGTCCCAGAGGCCCAGTAGAGACAGAGAGGAGGAGAGAGAGGAGGAGGAGGAGGAGGGGGGGGGATGAGAGCAGAGAGAGAGAGGTGGAAACAAACGGGGGTGGCGGGTAGGTTACGTGTACGAGAGAAGGGGGGAAAAGTCAGAAAATGGCGAGGTCTACCCGCACGTCTGTATGAGTATGTATGAATGAATGGCCCGGCGCCCGCTCGTCGGGCGGCAGCTAGTATCGCCCTCCCCGCCCCCCTGCGCGCGAGCACCGCTCACTGTACGCGGGCCGGCGCGAAATTCGGAGCCTGCGAGAGACGCGCGTGTGTACATACCAATTGCATATATATATATATATATATATATGTGCGTATATACGTATGTACGAAGCCGGGGGACGAGACAAGAACGGGGCCGGGAGGAGAGAAGAACGGGGAGAAGGGGAGCCCCTCTTCGATACGAGTCCGCCGGGGAACAAAAGCATTGTCTGCCTGTCTGTCCGTCTGTCCGTCTCACCGTTTTTCCCTTGTCTCTCTCCCGCGCACCCGCCCGAGCCGCTGCGCGCGCACGCGAGCGAGCTTTCCCTTTTCCCTCTTTTTTTTTTCCCCGCACCACGCGTATATGGCGGGAGCGCGCACGCAACGCAACGCAGCCCGGGCGGTCGAGCCGCGCGCGGGCGGGCTGATCGCGACAGACGAGACACGCCATCTCTCTCTCTCTCTCTCTCTCTCTCTCTCTCTCACCCTGCCCCCCCCCCGCCCCCCCTGCGCGCGCGCGGAAGGGGCTCCTACGCGCTCATGCCGCAACAGCTCGCGCCGGCAAACCGAGCGGAGCGAGCACACGCGAAGCGAGAGGCCGAAGCCCGTCGGCGTCCGCCGGGCGGAGTACGTACGCGAGGAGAAAAGAGTGGGGGGAGGGGGTGGTTGCGGAATACTACGCTACGGGGAAGAAACTCCCGAACACTACTAACTTAGCCCCAACCAGGAGGGCGCGTGGGGACCGGAGCCCGAGAGAAAGAGAGAAGAGAGCAGAGAGCGATGGACAGATGGACGGATGGCGCGCCGGCACGACGCGGACGTGGATTACGTGTGTGTGTGTGGATGACGCCGATAAGTAAGACACCGCTGATATATATAGAAGAAGAGAGAGAGAGAGAGAAAAAAAACCAGGCCAAACCAAACTAAATCGAAGGCTTATGTTCATCATCCGGGAACCGCGCAATGACAGCGAAGGACGGGCGTCAGTCCGCCCCTCCTCCCCCCTCCTCCTGCCCGTCCATTCTTTCTCGCTTCTCTCCTCCTGTCTTCCCCTGCTAAGCCGGATATATTCTCCCCTCTTCGCCTCGCGTAGCCTTTCTGTTAATTCGTCTTGCCCGTCCGTCCGTCCGTCCGTCGATTTCGGCGTTCGGAGGCGGGGGTGGAGCAAACAGTGGTTGCTGGCCTGCCTACCAACTACCCCGTAGCCGCGTCAGCGGTGGTTGGATGCGCGAGCAGGGTGGGTGGGTAGGTAGGCGGATACGCGCGTGGCTTATGGGCCCCCCCCCTTCTCTTTCGGCGTCTCCCCTCGCTCACTGAATCCCCCGGTAGCGAAATTGAATACGAAGTGCGCACATTACGTATTTTTCCTCTCTTCATTCGTCATCGTGATATCGTTTCAGTCTCCCCCTCCCTCTTCCGCTTCCCCTCCCTCCCAACTACTGCTGCCGCCATCGTGCTTTGGTCGTACCGCCTTCCGCAGGTGCGTTTCGATAAGTGGCTTCGGCGGCCGCTTCTGCAATTTCCGGGGCGCGCGGCGGGCGCCGGGCGCCTGTGATGGCCCACCGCCGCGCCACGAGTCGAGGAGGCGCAGTCACCAAGCGTTGCGGTCCCAGTTGGGATCTGCAGACCTCGGATTAGCCTCTGTTCGGGTCGGTATCGCTACAGTAGATACGGCGTCTTATCGCGTGACGACCGGCACGCAAAAGCTCCCCTTTAATATGGGCCTTTTCCTCATGTGCTCTACCCACCGTATACGCCGGTGTCCCCCTCAATTAGTTGCCCTCCGCTCCCCTACGTTTCGTGCCGGATATGGGCCAAGGGAAAAAAAGAAAGAAAAAAAAAAAGCTCACCCTGTACGAAGGCGGCCAAAACCTTGCTGCCAGTCTGGAGGAGCGGGTGGCCGACGACAATCTTGAGGAACTTCTCGAGGCCGGCGCGGCGGCCCTCGATGACGTCGTCGGAGAAGCGGTTGGTGAAGACCTTGCCGGGCAAGGGCGGGATGGTGACGCGGGCGCTCTCGCGCTCGAGGATGTCGCGGAAGTACTCGAAGTCGCTGTAGCGCCGGCGGACCGTCGACTGGCGCAGCTTAAAGGCTGGTATGTTGGTGCGGCAGACGATCTCGTAGTCGGTGTACATGTTGCGCGACGTGCCGTGCGTGCGCGGGTTGCGGACCTGTCGACGGCCGTCGCGCAGGGAGCCCCCCCCTCGGTATCAGCCAACTTGCCTCGCCGCAAACGCGGCCGCAGCGCACATGATGCAATGCAACCACGGTGCTGACGGTTTCGATGTGTCGCGTGACGTAATTCTGAGAGGGGAATGCGAGTAGGAGAAGAGGGGGTAAGGATATAGAGTAGAGGGGGGAAAGGGCGGGGATAACGCAACGGGATACCGAGTAGAGAGGGAGAGGGGGGGCCAGGAAGGAGGGGTGTTTCATTGGGGAGGAAGAGGTGAGAGGTATAGATAGGATAGGATCGAGCACCGCGGGATGCTAACCGGGGGCAGGATGGCGTACCTCGATCTCGAGGAAGTTCTCGGGCGGGCCGTAGATCTCCTCGAAGGACTGTTGCCGCGTGTCAGGCATGGACTGCATGATGGGGCGCGTTAAGCCAGCCATTCCGCGGGGTGTGACGGTGGATGCTGACACAGCGGTCTGAGTTGGCGATTTGGGCACGGGTGGTGGCACTGCGTCCTCGCGGCCCGGAGGCTCTTGCGGATGGTCGGTGGACGCCGTGTTGGCGGGTTTTACTCGGTTGCCGCCTTTTGCTGCGAGCAGTGGCGTAGAAAAGCCGCGCGTCCGGCGTGTGCAAGCGAGCAGGGCAAAAGCCTCCTCGGCAAAAGGATTAGCTCGAGAGAGAGAGAGATGAGTCGTGCGGGCGGGATGGGCGGATGGAGTGCCAGACGGGTTGGTAGATGTTGTCTGGTGTTGTCTCGGCTTGGAAAATTGACGGGGAGGGGGGGAAGCGAAACGGTCTAAGGCTAGCGGTCCGCGGTTACATCATGCTCCACGGTACCCAAGTACCCTCTACTCGATGTACCTGCCTTTTGCTGGATGGAGACAGTGCGCAGCGGCAGCGGGCAGCTTTTCGGCAGCAAGTTCCGCGGCGGCAGAATGCGGCTACTGGCGCGCTTATGTACATATGCAGCGGAATGTTCATAAGGGGGCGCATCCACGTGAGGCAGGGTGTACCACACAGAGGTACCTGCACATATGAGTACTAGAGGTAATGCTAGGCCGATGCCGTATGTTCCAACTAGGTATAGCACTATGAGTATTATACATGTTTATATAAGGCAACGGCCTTCAGCACGAGTTGATCGCTATAGATTCTCAAAGAGCGTGGGGGAGAGGAATAATACGGAACTTTCAGCGCACAGGTACCTACATACTGCCATCTATGCATATGCATATTTACATAATTATATGGAGCGATATCGCCAGAGGACCCGCGCCGGGACAACGGATCGAAGGGAACGACCTGCCCGAGGTCATCGCTGAAGCAGGGTCCGCTAGGAAAACATTGCAGGTGGGCGGGAGACTGCAACGGTGACAATCGGTACATTATCATAAAATGGCCGCTTCTACATATGTATACATGCACTGTACGATAGGCGTTGCGGGCGGTACTCATGCCTATGGAGTGGACCGGGATGTATTGTCCTGTACCGGGCTCACTAGCAACCAGAGGTACTCGTCTTTTGGCGTCAACCCCGGTCTCGCGTATTATGGGCACTGTGGGGTTCGACCGGCCCGAGAGCAAAATTCAACTTCACCTCTACCCGCAGGTACCTACGTACCTCGACTGCCACTTCAGCGTCTCGCCGACCCAACTCAAGAACTCTAGCCACCTTATTATAGGCTTCTACTCTCGAGCCCCTTACGCGTCTCGAGACGAGCGGCATGGGCAAGACACACGGTAGCGCAACGGGCGAAATGCCCACCCTACCTACCTTGTTCGCCTGCGCGCAAACAGGAAGACGTTCTGTCGCGGTCGGGGGAGCATGTGGAAAAACGTATAAATTAACTACCTATGTGACGTGATGCGAGCGCCCGCGTGGTGTAGCAATAGCAAAGGTTATCATCATTCAGCCTTCCTCCTCGTGCGATCCAAGCGGCTGGTCGCCATCAGCATGTAGGACGGTGGTTGCAGAGAGCGTGCGACAGCAAGATTGCACTGCTAATAGCCGATAGATACTACGTTCCCATCAGCATTCCGCCGCGCCGGGATCGGAATTTGGGGGGAGGTGCTAGGAGCACAGGAGTCTCATGCCGCAGGATAGAGGATATTGGGCTACCAGGTAACAAACAAGCCGATAAGCCAGGCTCACATACCCATCCGGACGTCCCCCGCATCCGGGACTACGCCCAAAATCTACAGCTATATTGGTGCGGGTGAAGTCAGGTGGTGCGGGCGGCCTAATACGACGGACGCGGGCCTCCGCTCAGGGCGCGGCGAAGGACACGATCGACCGCGGCCCACTCGTGGCGGCCGGCGTCGGCCAGACTCATAGCGTCAAAAACGGGGCCGATGGGGTAGTTGAGCTCGCACCAGAAGTAGCCCCAGTGGTCGGACGTGTGCGAGCCCAGGTTCTGCACCAGCTGCCGGCGGGGCATGGGCAGTTTCTGCACCGTCTGCTCCGTCTCCTCGCGGATGAGCGTAATGTAATACTGCGGATGGGTCGCGGGTCAGCACGCAAGCACGTCTAGGTCCGGGGAGGGCCACAATACCTCGAGGACGTCTGCAGGAACGCCCGGCTTGGGGCCCAGGACGTACTGGTGGCACCACTTGTCGGCGAAGCGGGGCACGTTGAACTCCATGGCCTGGCTGTCCGACATGTCGGCCAGGTACGCGATGCCGTCCTTCTGGGACACGGTGAAGCCGGGGCACGACATGGCCGCCTTAACGAGGCGGTCGAGGAGCAGCGCGTCTAGATGGACATCCGACGAGCCCTTCCTCAGCCTCGCCGACAGCACTTGGATCATCTTGGCCGTGGTGCTGTAAGTGATATGTCGCTGCTTGATCGTGATATGTTGTGGCATGTACCAAGGAAATTTCTTCAGTGTGCTAATCATGCATTCGTAGGCCCGCTGGGGGCAGTTCGTCGAAAAGGGGGACTAGAAGACCCAAGCGTTAGTAGATAGCAACCAGCAGAAAGGGCGGGGGGGAAGAAGAGGAGGGGGGTCGTACTCGCTGCGCACCGTCGACGTGCTTGACCAACATAATCATCTCCTCATCCGAAACAAATCCTTTAAAGTTCTCCCAATTCCATCCGCTGTCGGTCGTGATCTTGTGGGGGACCACGTTCCAGTCCACCCCGCGAGCGGCCGGGAATAGCTCTTTCTGGAGCTGGGCCTGGCTCGAGAGCTCCATGTCAACGCTTCGGTTTCCGATGCGAGGGTGGTGGCCGTTGTCGAGAAAACCGCGGAATCTGTCAACCGCGTTCACCGCGTCCTGGAAAGTCATGAATTCGACGTAGCAATCGTTAGTCTTGCTCGTCACGCGGTCCATGATAATGTGAACTGGCTCAGCGGTGTCGTTCAAGATTCGAGAGTTGCGGCCAAGCAAAGCAACAACATCGCAGCGCGCGGTGTCGTAGGGAATCTGGGTTGGGTATAGAGTTAGCCATAGTTAGCCAAGATAGTCCCGTTCGAGAGCCGCCGACACATCAGCCACAAGTGTACTCACGTTGGTCAAGTGTATAACGCCGTGGTTCGTGGGATTTGCCACGCTGTATGTCTCCACGAAGGGGATATTAGAGGGGTTCAAAATGGCTTCAGGAGAAGGATGACCGGAGGTGTCAATCATATTGTTTAGCTGACTCGAGCATTGTCGTTGTCCACTGCGGTACGGGATCGGGGTGAGTCCCGATACGGGATGCTCCCCGGACCGAATCACCATCTCATGACCATGGGGGATAGGACGAGGCGGCTGGGTATCGGCCACGTCTCCTGCTGGTCCGCCATCAGGCTGTACACCCGATTTGAAAAGTGTGCTGCGATACATATCAAGGTTACTGTCGGACGAGCTGCCCGGTAGCTTGCGTAGCGGTGCGGCTTCCACAGGTTGCTTGACGTCCTGCGTGGTATTATTCTTCAGGTTCTCTACGTGTTCGCGCTTAACGTAACGGTGAGTAGCCGGCCTTGCAGGTTCGTCGGGAACTGCTGTGCCTGTACTAGTAGATTCACGCCGACCAGCCAGAAGGGGGCGAAACAGAACGTCCTGTCGTCCGGCCTGGCCGATGCTGCTTATGGAACTCTTGGCTGACGTGTGATACGCGGCGGAACTCGTACCGGCCTGGTTCGCCGTGGACGAGGAAGTGCTGCCGGCAGGAATACGAGAGGAATCCTCGTCGAAAGGAACACCTGATGACTTCAGACCGATGGAGGTTTTAAAGAGGATAGACCTGAGGTGGGCGAAATCATCCTCTGTGGGGGTTTCCCGACTATGAGTAGAGCTCGTGGTTGATCGTGTCGAAGTAGATTGTGCCCGTCCTCGAGATTGATTATTGTCAACCGGTTGGTCCGCCCGGTTCATAAAAGTATTGGGTGTGATATGGTCAGCAGGTTGCTGGCCCGGCGTCAAGGTGGCAGCGGTATTAGAGGCGACATAGGAAGCGTTTTGGTAAGTCGGAATGGCATGAGGTGGAGCAACGAGCATTCCTTCCCGTGCCTGTGCCTGTGCCTTGAAAGAGACCGAAAGCTGTAAGTTGAAAGAATATAGGTTAGCATGACCTATTCTCTCGTCGAGATTGTGGCTTTGGGGCCCTAGTATTAACCCGGGATGATCTGGACTGGACTTTCCGGGGGGGGGGGGAAGGAGAGAGAGAGATTGAGGCATGATTTATTTATTACCTGATCTGAGACCGAGGTTGTGATGGTGGAGGCAGACGGCATACTGCTGCTCGGAATTCCTGCAATGCTAAGGACACCGGGTGTGTGGTTCTCTTTAAATCCCGTCTCAGTGCCGTGATCATCCCTGTTGCTGATGTTACCAATGCCAGCAGATCTGCTTGCGATCGAGGAAGTTTTAGTAGCTAGAGGGGCGCCTCCGTCGCCATTCTGATTAGATCGGCCGGGAACTGGATGGCCAGGAGATGTCGAGTCCGCCCAGCGAACTTGTTTCGATATACTTCCAGTCGAAGATCTGTTGGACCTGCTTCCGTCCATGGCTCCGGCTCAAGTTCAAAAGAAGGTGGTATGGATAATAGGTTGCCAAGCGAGGACTATGCTCTCTTGCCAACAGACATCGGACCTGAATATCCTGTGTATGTCTATATCCGTACGTGTTAGCGATGGATCTGTTTTAGGGGGGGTTATGACACTGGAAGAATAGGAGATGAATCAAGTGATGAAGGGGACGATGCGAGATGAGAATTTGGACATGGGTTATGCTTAGTCGCTAATGTTTAAGGGGTTTCAGTCTTCGGCCTTCGGTGGAAACCCGAGATTATAGGGGGAAGGGAGGCGCGAGAGGAAGGAGAGGAGTTGGAAATGAACTACCAGTAGGAAGTTGGAGTCTCAGTGCGAATGACCACTTGTCTGGCCCGGCTGGATAAAAGCAGGTAACTTTCGAGCAGAACGACTAGAGGCTAGGTATTCTTAGAAGAACAATATTAGTTGTTGACGGGATTGAATAAGTGCTGGATTCGAGGGCAGATGCAAGTAGGAGCGCTGACTCAAAGGGCCTGTAATATTAGAAGCTTCGGGGAAACTGTGAGTAGATCAGACGACGGCTGGAAACGTGTGCGGTTGCGAGGTGACGGCGGTCTGAGCGTTGATGCCAGTGGAAAATCAAAAGTGGTTGATAAAAAGGGGGGAGGCTGGAGGTGAGAATTGACCCTCTTTCTGTGTCCGCCCAGCTGAACGGACGCTAATATAGAGTAAGCAACGTAACAAGAGGAAATAGATGACGGCCTTCGTACTGTATGGTACGGCGTCCACGAGACGTGCGAAGAAGGGGGAGGGGGTCGGATGCCATCTACTACGTACCGGAGAAAGTTTGCTTGAGGATGGGGATGGGGATGGGGAGTCAGGTTCACGATATGAATTACGGGAAAGGGCGCCTTGGAAGAGGAAACTGGATGATGTTTGCGTTATGAATCGGGATATGGAGGCCTCCGTGATCTTACGGGTTATAATGGTAAGTCGAACCGGCACGCCCTTAACGACGGGCAAGTTAGCTTACACTTCACGCACCCGGCGCGGCATGTTTTAAGGATGTGACCGACACGCTCCGGAGGGAGGAATGAAGAGGACGGATACCGACCTATAGGTGAAGGGTGCTCGGAGCTTCAAGGAGGATTCTGTCAGTTCTTGGAGGAGAGAGGGGGAGGAGAGAATGAGGACACCGGCGCCTCCTGTTGGGAGATAAGAATATACATCTGGCTCTGTCAAGGCGGCGTTGGGAGATATGGGTGGTGGATCAACAGAAGAGTAGAGGTACCTTGGGGAGATTTCTGCAAAAGGGGCTAACCACAGATGTAATTCTTCATGTAATCTTTAGGAGTTTTCTTTTCAGTAAAAAAAAAAAAAAAGACATGGAAACTGGTGTTTCAGGTTCTACAAATGGCCAGGAGCCTGACTTTAACATGGTAGTGATTCCGAATCAAGGAAAACTGATTTTGGAATTTCCTAAGCTAGAGTACAATACCTAGAGTTAGGGACCTGGTATGTTTATGAATATCACGTTTTGGTTCACTCAACTCTAGAACAACTAGTTATAAATAGACAGTGCCAACCACAGCTCATTGTCCCGTAACTTATCTACATAGCCTAAGAATAGCTGGTCAAGAAGGGAGCTACAAATATATACTGATTCCCTAGTCTTATGGGAAGTTGCCACTGAGAGGACAAGAGGACACACTGACGCTGTACCAGACGTAAATCAACACATTATTCTCTAATCATCACAGGTGAAGAAGTGGACGGGCGTAGATTGTGTTTAAAGCCCCTACCAAGTTCTTGAGACTTCTTGAATTTAAACACAACTAAGCCTTATTCACTCCCAGAGGGGAATATGACGAAGAGGAGGACTTCCCTCGAGTAGTTGAACTTGGCACGAAAAGCGTTACACCGTGACACCCTCAACGAGTTGCACTTGTGTCGCGAAGAAATCCCAAGGGACTGATAAAAAGGGGTTGACCGCTAGCGCATTTTCGGGTACAGAACTGCCGAAGCTGGAGAGAGTGGTGGTCGGTGGCATGAGCAGAGGCCGTGAACTAGAGATAATCAGAGCTTCCGCCACTCTGTTTGCGAGGGGGAGAGACTCTGATCAAGGACGCCGAAGGTCTCTATCACATTATCCCTTCAGGTTTCAAGAGACTAACGGGAATACTTTCCAGTTACGGAATATACCCGTTGACGTGAGTGGGTATGAGGGATATCGTACTTGGGCGCTTGGGCACTTCGGCCACTTTCACAATGAAGGACTTGTCTCCGTTAATAGTTTCGCTCCAGAACAGGATCAGTGGGGAAAAATCTTGGTTATTACTTAGGCATATTGTACACCCTCGGGACGGGAACGAATTCTAGCCATGGGTATCACAAATGACAGCTTGACCGCAGAGCGGACCGGGACGAAGCCTGTGGTCGGAGTCTGACGCCAAAATTGACCCAATCATAGGATTCTGAAATTTCTACTTTTATTTTCCTATCTGGTGACCAATTGGTCGTGGGATCTGGCCCGGGTGGTGGCGTTGGGGAGAGTTGATGGACCGGGAAACATCGAGCGGCAATGCAGGATCTGCCTATTGCCAACATTTGACGCGTTATGGAGGTGTCTTAATGGCGCGTATGGCGGGGGATTCTAATGTTCTGCGTAGTGTTCTAAAGTGATGTCTTCGTTGCGTCGAGTCTTATGTCGCCGTGCTTGTCGGTCTAGTCCCATCGGCGGCAAGTAAGATGATATGGCGTATGGGCTTCCCCTTAGTCAAACTTGGGCTGTCGTTAGCAGGCTATGCTGAGACCAGAACGATAAAACTCACAGGTGTTAAGAAGGATTCGGCAACAAATCTTGCCCGTGCATTCAACTGGTTGCCGTTAGCAAATCCCATCCCAACCAGAGGTCGGCGGACTCCGAGACAACCTACAAATAGCTTCATCTCTGATATCTCCTTATCTACCTCCTCCATGAACTGAATGATAAAGTCGACCAGCTTGTGCTTCAGCATCTCCTCGGTGTGGAAGTTCGTTATTAAGAACGAAATGTCATAGCCCTGCCGGGATGGGTTAGCCTTGGACAGCACGAGGGCGGCCTGGTTTCCTCGACGCCGTCGGTGGGGAGGTACCTTTATTGGTTTCCTTCGGAGGATGAAGAAGGCTTCCGCTCGCTGGGTAAGGAACCGAGTAAACTTGTGGACTAGGATGTTCTCGATCTCGTCGGCCTGCTTGATCTTGATGCTAATCCGTACGCTGTTGATGCTCGGCTCGATCAAGACCTTCTCGTTCTCGTTGCGCGAGACGATCAAGGGGTTCAGCAGGACCTCGGGGGAGGTTTGGGCTTCGATCTCAGGGACATTGTGCCGTTCTGAGGTTTGGGAGGCGAAGTTGGAGAGGCAGAGGGCGGCAGTCAGAGTGCTTCGCACGCACTGGAGGTAGGGGCGGAGGGATTGGGACTGCGATCATGGGGAAATAAATACGTTAGCAGGGGATCTCCGACAGAGAAGGATGGGCATATATCCGCGTAAATAACGTGCCATAGTGGGTAGACTTATCGGTCCCCAGAAGTTGCCAGTCTCCGAGGGGCGGTTCGGCGGGCGATGTGAAGGAAGCAGAGATAGGTCGAGAGATGGTTGTTGTAGACTACACAAGCAGCTTGAGCGGTCGAGACGGCCGAGTTGGTCGTCCGCGTCGTGAGTGTGGGGTACCTTCACTTACCTAAGGCGCCTTTGTTGGAGGTACATAGGATTACCTAAGGGTTAGGTGCCAGAGATATAGGACAGGAGGTAGGTACCTGGGTACACGCCCGCCCCATACCTACGAGGTATCCCCCCTAGGCACCTAGGGTACATAGGTACCTATCTCTGCCCCACGCCTGGGCTAGATGCGCTTACAGTGCGTTCACAGTACTTGCATAGTACGTACACCGTATAAAAATACCCGTTGGTAGGTGCTTTGCCTCAGGTGCCGTTTGACCCCCTTCCTTATCTGATTGTTTGAAAACTGTATAAGCCGTATGTATCTGTGTACCTATCAGGTATGTGGTACTTCCTATGCCTTATGAGTATGTGCCTCTGTAAAGTACATAGGTAGAAATTATACATATGTGCATAAATACATACGGTACCTAGGTACCTCTTAGGCACCCTGGCTGATTCCGTTATGTGGCTTTAGCCTGTGGCGTCGCCTTTGGGTCGGCACCCCGCCAACTCTTCTGAAAAGTCCCCAGGGCTCCTTCGTCAACCAACCGCCACCAGCCCTACTGCTGATGGACTCGCTTCGTCTATCTATTATTGGGTGACGGACTACGGGATTTGCCTTGGAACCCATCTCTCCCAGGGACAACATAACTCCCCTTCTTCGCTCGTCCCCGCTTTAGACCTCAACGCTACCCAAGCTGCACGGGTAGTATTGCCTACGCTCCCGCTGATTCCTCTACCTACCCAGCACTCTTCTCGAGAGCCATATCCTCGAGGACGAGATGGCGACAATACCAAGTAAGGATTCCGAGCATACCTACCCTATCAGGCCGGGTCAAGCTCCTAGATGTGGATTTGTGCTGACCTGCTTGGCCTTGAACAGTCGTCGTCAAACATCAGGGCACCAAGTACGATGTCGAGGTAGACCCCGATTCGACCGGTGAGGTCTTCAAGTTCCAGCTATACAGCCTCACCGGCGTCGAGCCCGAGCGTCAGAAGATCGTGATCAAGGGTGGCCAGCTTAAAAATGACACCCCGATGACCAAGTTTGACTTTAAACCTGGGCAGTCGATAATGATGCTGGGAACACCGGGGAAGGATGGGAAGGAAGCTCTGGTCCGACCAAAGGAGCAGGTCAAGTTCGTCGAGGACATGACTGAGGCTGAAGCCGCACAGCAAGAGGGCGCCATACCTGCTGGTTTGACTAACCTCGGCAACACATGCTATCTCAACTCAACTCTCCAGGCCCTGCGTGCCATCCCGGAGCTTCAGGCTGCTCTTGTTAAGTACGAGCCACAGGAGTCGACTCCGCCCAGTTTACTACCCCAGCTAGACCTAACCAAACAACTCCGGGATCTCTACCGATACATGTCCGAGACCCAGAATGCATTCACACCCCACACTTTCCTGGCCGCGTTGCGAACCGCATTCCCCCAATTTGCCGAGCGCTCACGCACCGGGCCCGGATTTGCCCAGCAGGATGCGGAGGAGGCCTGGTCTCAGATTGTCACGCAACTGCGACAAAAGCTGCGCGTGACGGAAGCGCCTGGTTCTGCCGCGGAGTCCTTCATCGATAAGTACATGGCGGGGGAGTTCGCGTCTGAACTGGAGTGTGATGAGCCTGCAGCTAAGGAGGCCGGCGAGCAGCCTGTCACCTCAAAAGAGGCCTTCTTAAAAATTAATTGTCACATCGATGCCAACACAAACCACCTGCGGGATGGCATTGCGAATGGATTGAGCGAAAAGCTCGAGAAGCGCTCGGAGCTCCTAGACAGGGACGCCGCCTATACGAAAACTTCCAAAATCTCCCGGCTGCCCAAGTACTTGACAGTTCATTTCGTTCGCTTCTTCTGGAAGCGGGAGACGCAGAAGAAGGCCAAGATCATGCGCAAGGTCACCTTTCCCCATGAGCTCGACATGGTCGAATTCTGCGACGAGAAGCTCAAGGCCATGCTGGTCCCCGTCAGAGACAAAGTCCGAGAAGTCCGGAAGGATGAAGAGGACATCGAGCGCGCACGGAAGCGGCGTAAGCGGAATGGGGCGGGCGAGGACGCCGGCGACGCTGCCGGTTCGAAGGGTAACAAGAAGGATAGTAAGAAGGACGATGGCAAGAAGCCTAGCACCTCCGCAGATGGCGACGTAGAGATGACCGAGACTTACAAGACGGACGCCGAGATCGACGCGGAGCGCGATGCCGCGCTTCTGGCCGCCAAGAAGGAGCTGCACGCGCTTATAGACCCAGAGCTAGCCAAGGACGACGGCGCCAACCTGTCGGGCCTATACGAGCTCAGGGGCGTTGTGACGCATCAGGGCGCCAGCGCGGACAGCGGCCACTACACCGCCTACGTCAAAAAGGCCGCCCCGGTTGACGCGAAGACCGGCAAGCGGAAGGAGGAAGACGGCAAGTGGTGGTGGTTCAACGACGACAAGGTATCGGAGGTGACGTCGGATAAAATTGAGACCCTGGCCGGAGGTGGCGAGTCGCATTCGGCTCTAATTCTACTATATCGTGCCATTCCCTTGCCATCCGCCGACGGTACGCTCGAGTAATCCTGTAGCAGGGACGAGGACGTCGCGTTCGTGTGTGGCGGTTTTCTGTTAAAGAAAAGGATGCATGGCGACTAGGGAATACGGATTAGCATTAGACTTACGTTCGTTGATCCGAACGGGTTCGGAAATAGACGCCGTGCCTCTGGGGGCTTAGTTGTTAGACTCCAGAGTCCTCTTCCGCTGCGTACCGACTCTTAACACCTGTAGTAGTATGTAGGTATTATTGTTGATGTTCTCATTGAAAGTCGTTGCCTATCATGAGTACCATTACTAGGTACGAGTATGTGGTATTGGTGCCCTTCTTCGAGTAGCGACGCGGTAGTATACAGAGTGAGAATGACTTTCCCCAAGGCGTCTTTGTCTTTACGTAGAGCTCCTTAATATAGGTACATGTGGAGGCAGCCCTACCGCCATTACGGATCACCAGCTTTCGGCTACCGCTTCCGGCACAACTCTAGGTAAGCGCGCGTCAAGCTGTCTCGATCCTCGCGCGTGCACGTTGGAAGGATTGCAGCCCGAAATATAAACGCACGACGGGCACCGCCCGTTTCAGCAGAAAGGGGGGCCCCCTTATATGATCACGCGTTCTGTCTATGTGGAGTAGCCCACCCTGCCTCCTTATCCACCGCCCTTTCTTTCCGGTTCCCGACCACGACGCTAAAAGGTCCGCACTGCGGAACCGTGCTCCCGATAGGGGGGGAGCCCTATTTATTCCCCCCCTTTCCTCCCGTCCGTCCGTCCGTCTCTCTCTCTCTCTCTCGTGGGGTGTCCCCCGGCGAGCGGCTTCACTGCTGGCCCTCGGCCCGTGCGATCCGCTCGCGCAGCTCGTCGACCTTGTGCTGGAGCGGGGCCCGCTTCCCGACGAGCTCGGCGCGGCGCCGCTCGAGGTCGCGGATGCGGTCCTCGACCGGAGCCTCGACGACCTTTTGCCGCTCCTGCAGCCGTCCGGGAGGTCCCGGCGCGTTAGCGAGCGCCTGCGCCGTCGCCGTTCGCCGTGGAAACGCGCGCGTAGATATCAAGGGAGAGCGGGTCCGTAGTAGTAGAAAAAAGGAGGGTGCAGAGGGAACGAGGCGAGTGTTGTAACGTAATCGATGTCGTCGTCGCTCGTAGGGAAGGTGAAGATTAGGGAGAGGAGATGGGGCGGGGCAGTAGAGGGGTGGAGAAAGGGGGCAAAGTGGGAACACGTACGGCTATGAAGTCCTGCTCTCCCTTCATCTTCGCGCCGTATACGGTGCCGACGATGATGACGGCGGCGGCGGCGGCGGTGATGACTAGCGTCCTCGGGCTCAGGCGCCGCCCCGCGCCCGAGGCAGCCTTGCCGGGGATCTCGCCGAGCGGGGACCTCGGCGGTAGCGCCGCGTCCCGCCTCAGCACCCGCGGCGGCGGACGGGGCGGCGGCGTCGATGCCGGCGTCGCAGGGGTCGCCGCCGATGGGCGCTTTCGTCGGAATGCCATGGTGGCGAGAGGTGTCCTTTCGCTAGTCTGTCCTTTCTCGCAGCCTGCCGAGCGGTTGCTTCATTACGGTCGCATGAGAGTAGATGCTCGTCGTCGGTTCGTGTAGATAGTTCCAAGCCCTTCTTCTCCACTCCCTCCCGCCGTTCTGATCTCCACGGAGGCGGGAAATCTCCGAGGCCCCCCTCCCCGAAGTGGAGAAGAGTGGGAATGCTTGGTTAGGGGACGGCTCGCCGCAGCTGCGCGATGTAAAAGCTCGCGGGGGAGAAGTTAGGAGGTTATACGTGCTGCATAGCGGAGGAGGCACGGAAAAAGCCACAGTGGACGTCGGTGGTGGCGGAAGAGTCGGCGCCGCTGGCTCCGCTGGGTTATTCGGCGGCGTGGGTTCTGCCTTAGGTGAGCCAATAGCAGTCAAGCACAGAGCCTTTAGTAATCCTTGCGCGGCCAGAGCAAAGAGTGATGCAATGTATAGGTAATACCTATTGCATTAGGTAACCGATCATCTTAGGTAAGACAGCGCTAACCTTCCATCGTTCTTTTTCGCCTTCCACCTCTGAAGTCCGAGGCCTTGCCTGTAAACTCTCGCACCTCCGCTACTCGTTCTCGTAACCTAGCTGTGAACGGCAAGCTCTTCTCCTTTTTCCATTTTTTCTTACTCTTTTGACGTCCGTGGCTCTGTCTCGAGCACCGCCGTAAGGTCCCTTATATGACAACCCTAAGTTGACACTTGTTATACAAGTAACGCCCTCACGGCCCATTTTACCTTTGCGGCCATTTGTTTAGGTTGACTGGATCTGATCTGACTATTTAAGATCCTCCTGCTGCTAGCCCCGAGAGGATAATCTTACTAGACTAAGCACACCAAAGTAATATCGCCGAGAGTCTCATCGGTCAGGTGTCATGGCCACCCCGCGGGTCTTTCTCGTCCGCCATGGCGAGACAGAATGGTCTCTCTCCGGCAAACATACCGGCAGAACCGATATCCCCTTGACGGCCAACGGGGAGAGGCGAGTCAAAGCGACCGGTCAGGCGCTTGTCGGCAATGATCGACTCATCGTGCCAAATAAACTTGCACATATGTGAGCCGCCTTTCCCTCAAACTGCATAGCCGTTTATCGGACGCCTTTCGAGTCCCTGCATGAACTGGATGGAGGTGCGCATCTTGTCTGCTACGAGGAAGCTTGGACTGCTGGATCACGACTTGGAGGAAGGATAGTAGGGGGCAGGGCTGCATACGCGTCCCCTCTACTCGAACCATAATACCAGCTAGCGCCAGCCATGCAAGTTGGTCACCTCCAGGGTATTGGAATCCGGGTTTCGTATCTACTTTTCCCCGGGCACTTATTCTTTATGATTTGTCCTATGGCATTGGAGAGTAATCTCACGATAGATCGCTGCATCCGCCGTTTCTAGAAGTCTTGTAGAGTTAATGTACAGGACTTTCGGCCCTAGTCACCACTCCCCCTTCACACTATCTCAACATATTATTAAAGTTAAGCCTCGTGCATACATAGATGCTAACATCGCTAACTCTCTAGATATGTGTCGCCACGGAAGCGAGCGCAACGTACTTTCGAGCTGCTGAACCTTGGCACTACAGGCCCATTGCCGTGGAAAGTCCATGGCGAGAAGTTAGCCGATGCGGGCCGCACTTGCAACGCGCGCGTTGAGGTTACCGAGGATATCCGCGAGTGGGACTACGGCGACTACGAGGGTATTACGAGTCCCGAAATCCGGGAGATCCGCACCAAGCAAGGTTTGGCTCTGAGGTGGGACATCTGGAGAGACGGATGTATCGGTGGAGAGTAAGTTGTCCGCCCCCCTCCATCGGCCTCTGACTAGCGTAGACAACCCCCCCTAGTTGAGACGTGTTAAATCGTATCTAGGGAGGGTAGGGTTAACGATATTAAGGGATTTGGTGTACAAGGGGACTGACTGACTGATACTGATATTATCGATAGGAGCCCCGAAGATATCACGGAGCGCGTAGACCGCCTCATCAAGCAGATCCGGGAGACGTGGCACTTGCCCGTCATCGGAAAGCCGAAGTCGGAAGAGCTGCCGCCCGGAGACGTCTTGATCGTAGCGCACGGCCACATACTCCGCGCCTTTGCGTTGAGGTGGGTCGGAAAGATGCTCCAAGAGGGCCCGGCCTTCCTGCTGGAAGCTGGTGGTGTTGGAACGTTAAGGTAAACCACCCCGCCTCCCCAGCAGAACGCGTTGCCTCACGGAGGGGCAACTTGTGCTACCGCTCATGCTATCACTACCATTCGCCTCGACGACAACGATACTGACGTAGAGACAACCACATATTAGCTATGAGCACTACAACATCGACGAGCCTGCTATATTGCTAGGTGGTGCTTTCGTAGTAGGGCCATGAAGGAGGTAAGAGGGAGGCAAAGGGGGTCTATAGAGCCTACATAGAGACGGTTTGCCTGGCGCCAGGATATCCGTTTGCGCCAATAGACTACAGCTATAGTATCTTAGATGTGCCTCATATAGGCATATACCTAGATTGGTTACAGCACGTCTACGAAGTTTCCTACCGGAACCCTATGTGACGCTCGCCGAGACCATAGCACATTGTTACTTGTGGGTAACCAGAAGGTCCGTCTTTATCCCCTGGCGCATGCCGCAATCCCGCGGGATTACTGAGACATGCCGGTTTCAGTGAAGAAAGGCCGAGGAGCCATAGGGAGTCCGTTTGCCTTCCCCGTCGATAGCCGCGGAACAATGTCTCGGGGGTCCGGAGCGCGATACGTACTTTGGCTGCTTCATTTGACGAAAGACATCGTGTGCTTCCGTCCGTTTCGGGACATTGATACATCATGCTGAGGATGATTTGCCAACTTGGAAGGGAAGGGAGGGAGGCAAAACCACGGCGACGACAACGATGTTGGAGTATGTGAGGGCGAGCATAACGCACCCCAGCGGCTGTGGCCCCCGGAATGACTTCACGCACAGGGTTAAAGGCTTATCTACTCTGCCTACTTAATCTATCGAGGGGTGGGAGCCAAGGCAACTATTCACGTCCATAAGTAAATTGACAAGTTGTCGTCGTGGCAGTTATCGAGCAGGCGGCTACACCCCCCCCCGCCTCCCTGCGTATATCGCCCTCTTGCCGTTTGCTAATATGTCTAGATAGGTGTATAACTTTTCCCTCTACGGCCATGGGACGATAGGTCGCGGGGAGATAACCTTGCGTTGGACCAGCCTGATTTCAACCTAGCAGGTCAAACCCTCCCTCACCTTTGGCCTCTTCCCCTCCTTCGTTAGGATATCAGACAGAGCAAGCGGGATGGGAGTAGCATGTATACTACTAGAGACACAAGGGGGGGGGGGATGTGGGGGTGGCGCTCTTGTATATATTGCCTGCGCGGTATGTAGCGTATACCGGTATATATACGTTTACACACCGAGAATCGAGGTGACGAGACCTAGGTGTATCCGTACATATCGTCACAACTTGTCAGGTAGACACGGACTGGGGCAAGCGACGTCAAATAGGCCGCGACATCACTCTCTTAGCCTCCGAGGAGGGGTGTCAGAATAGCGGCGGTACCGATATGCCTACCTCTCTCCATAATGCCACGGCAGGCTTCCCTGGGACTCCCTGCGCCGCCATCTCGGGAGAAGACGGCCTAGGCGTGGCGCCTACGTCTGGTCCCTAGCCCCCTCGCCCCAATCGCATCGCCTCTTGGCAGCCGGCGATGGGGCCTCCGGAGTACGCTCCGCCAACGGGAGCGCGTATCGGGCGCCCCCTCCCCCTTCCCCCTGCCACCGACCCAGCTGCTTGCCTGCCTGCCTGTGCCTACCTGCCTGCCTGCCCTACTGGCCTGTCTTACCTATCTACCTGCCATCCATAGAGTAGGTAGGTAGGCATGTATGTAGGTAGGGATGGGCCGCGCTGGTACGCTCCACCGATACTCCCCTTCCCCCCCTCTCCTCGGGCGTCCCGCCGACGAGCCACGGGCCAGTGTCCACTAGCCCTCGCCCACGCAGACGGCCCACACATGGGCCAGCCAGCCAGCCAGCCAGCGTCCACGCAGACCGACGTGCCTCGATACGGGGGGCGTCGAGATGCATCTGCCAGCGCGCAGGCACCTCGCGGCGACGCACTGCAGCAGCAGCATCGTACGAGGGGGGCGAGGGAGGGCCCGCCCGCCGGTCCCGCACGTGCGAGCGGAGCCAGCAGCAGTGCGTCTGCAGCGAAGAACGTACGACCGCCGCGCTCGCCCAGCAAGCCATTTTTTCCCGCGCGAGCCGCGCCGTCCCCATGCGGTCCCCTCCCCCCCTGCCCACCCCTGGTTCGACCCCATCTCTGCCTCTGTCCGTCCGTCTCTGCCTGCCGCGCACGCGCGCACGCACGCACGCACTGACTGGCGCAGGGCGGGGGGAGGGGGGGGGAAGGCGATCAGGATCGAGGCGTCGCCCGCGGCACGGCGCGGAGCGGCTCTGGCGGTCGGCGCCCGACCCGACCCGACCCGACGCCATCACGTCTGCCCTGGCGCGCGCGCCCCCTCCCCACCTTTCGGCGGAGACCCACGAGTGGGCGTCTGGCTGGGCTGGGCTGGGCGGCCAGGTATAGTAGGCTCGACGAGGAGGGAGCGCCGCGCGCCATGGGGCAGGCGGACGTGCGCGCGCAGGCTCCGCCCACGCGCAGGCCGCCTGTCTTCGCACGGACGGACGGCCAGAAAGGCGGGCTTTATAGGTAGGTAGGTAGGTATGTGTACGTAGCCGTATGCAGGACGTGCGTGTGCGTGCGTGCGTGCGTGTATCCACTCCTTACCTACGCGCGCGCCGCATAGGTTGGGAGGACGTAGATGGGTAGGTAGTTCGTGCGGGAGAGGGGAGAGGAGGGAGGGGGAAGTGGGATCGCGGCCGCGGCGTAGGTCCTCTCCCCCTCCCTTTCTGGCTCTCTCGCTCTCACGCTCTCGGTATCTCCCGTGGCATCTGTCCCGCCCCATCGCCCCCGCAGGCTGCGCTCTCTCCGTCGATCCGAACGAAGGGATCAAGACACTGAGATTTCCCGGCTTGCCAACGTTGTTCTCGCTGGGAAAGGATCGGCGGGCAACTCGATTCGGGCCGGCTCGGCTCGACGGGAGGGAGAGAGGGATGGCGGCGATCGCGCCAGCTGGTTGGTTGGCTCGTTGGCTTGTTGGCTGGCTGGCTGGCTGGCTCGTTGGGTAGCAATACCTAGTTGGTGGCTGGCTGGCCGGCTGGGGAATAGCACGGAGGGAAGCGCGCGCGCGCGCGTGAGACGGGGAGAAGAAGGACGAGGAGGGAGGGCGAGCGAGCGAGCGGAAAGAAGAAGGACGAAGAAGCAAGAACTGCTTGGGAATAGGGAGGGAAACCTGGCTTCGGGGCGAATGCTTTGCGAGACAGCCAAGCAGGCAAGTGTTGCACGTGCGTAGCAAATGCCCCAGAAAGATCGATCCTCGCGTAGCTGTTTCTTCTCCCAAATCGTCACGTTTCCCCCGCCGCCGCCCGGGGCCGCCCGGGGCAGCAAGCCGTGCAGAGCAGCGATGTTCGAGGCCTGCCACGGCGTGGCTCGCGAGCATGGTATCAAGTTCTTTCTGTTATTCTGCCCCGTACCGCGCGTCGATGGGACGTGGGAAATGCCCCGATCGGATATGTTAGGCTAATCATCCATCGACACCTTCTGGCCGACGGACGGATAGGCCAGCACATGCGCTGCGGACCTTTGTATAATACGGCGCACCGCCTCGCAAGGTCCGGCTCCTCTTTATCGTCGTTTATCATCTCCGCGCCGGGCCTGTCCTCACCCAGGGAGCGTATACCATATTACTGAGTAGCAGTCCTTCTCTTTCGGCACGAAGGCAGCATATCCACTTGCTCGCTAACAGGGCGCGATCGTGTTCTATTTTTCTCTCCTTTTTGCTCTTCCAATATTCCAATATATAGGCAGGACATGTTGGATGGGGGGGCTCGGATTTCGAGTCTCGACCGCGTCGCGTTCTCGCTTGCCGGCAAGGCTTTGGGATCAGGAATTGTCCAGCGTCGCCGAACGTACGGATCCCGGCGTGTCCGTCTAGGAGCGTCTGCTGAGAGGCTGTTAGTGCTCGAGTACTTTGAATCGGCCGTTCTTGATAGTATCCATATTATCATCCATCTTCTTCACGCAGAGAGGAAGTTGGTAGCGCCTTGCGCAGGGCGCTCCTAGAACAGTGCCCGAAATAACTTAGAAGGGCGAGGCGAAACGAGATGCCGACCCTGGCCGGGAATACGGATATGTCGTCGTGGAGTCATCATTATATCATCGGGGCCATGTTGTACATACCGTCAAGGTAAGAGGATAATAATAACACAGCGGTATGTCCCGGCGGGATTCAGAGTGAAAATAAGCCAAGCTCGTCCGAGAATCGTCGGTATATCTGGCAGGAGTCGAGTCTGATAGAAGAAAGATACGAGGAAGGGAAAAAGGCCTAGTAACGGAGGGTTACGAGGAGGGAAGAGTTTCTACCGGGGGTTTGGCTAGTCTTGTATTCGGACGCCTACTTCGACGCTTGCCCAGCCCTGCCGGCTACGAAAGAACTGAGAGAAACAGGAACAAACGATCATCTATCCATTCATCTCCTCCACTAACCTTTCTATCCTCCCGAATGTCTCCCCTAGGTCGGAGGATTAGATTAGCAGGACCTGTGCCGCGCGTAAGCGTTACCTATCGTGGTCTTACTGTGCTGCGATACTGTATTCCACGCCGTAATACGCAACTCAGCATTTTATTTACTTCCTTTCTTCCTGTATTACCCGCCGCGTCATTCCTCGTATGAGACCTCGAGTTCGAACATGACCGGATAATAGTAATTGGTAAGTCGAAATTGGACCCCTGGAAACTTAACTGCGGCTCGGCTGGGGGATTTGCGGTTGAAACGGACAGAGACCAAAGCTATCACCGACTTACCGCTAGGCATTGTCATTTTCGTCACCATTCTTCGGGCATCTCTCGGGCCATCCCTCGTTTTATGCTCACCACTTGTGACGTGGTAACATCTAGCAATACCCCCAGAGCGTGTAGCGGCAGGTCGCCGAGATCATACGAGACTAGGCCGTTTCAACTTGCTGCTTTTCGCTACCAGTGAAACTGCTCCATCGCCGTATAAACGTTAGGAGTTCCTCGCTCATGCTGGGATCGGCATGGCGCAAAGGTGGGATCTAGTAGTGGGTAGGTAGACGTATCTACAGTATAAAGGGGAAGAGTCCGCCCGTACTTGATCTTGTGGGAATGGAGGGACATATCTTTCCCTTTCCCAGAAATGGCGATTGCACTAAATGTCCGGGTGTTTCCAACATACACTAATAGAGTCTACGCGTTTCACGGAGCGAGGAAATTTGCTGCTAAGACGATTGGGGATCGGGAAAACTGGCGCGGTTTAAGTAACGCGTACTCTGTCTAGGCGGTAGGTATGTGGAACCGCGGGACCAAATCGAAGCGTAGACACCTAGGAACATCTCTTTACCTATTAAGTCCCGGCAGAGCACAGTCACGAGATGTGGTAGTCGGCGAAGAGGAACGAGAGAAGTTTTGCCTCTGCTGCGGAATGTTTGTCCGCACCATCGCTCTCAGCCCCGGAAACCAGAGGCTCTGTAGCGTCCAAACAGACCGCAGTAGCGGGTATTACGAGGCATGTCACCTAAGGTAGGGCCAACCTCGAGCAACGCTCAGTCGGCTCAACGGGGGGAGCGTGAGCTGGCAAACTTACCACATTCCGGGCGGTTGGGTGCGCCTTCGCCTCGGTTTGCTCCTAGCGCGTGAGCCAGCCGGGCGCGGGTGTCCTCGACGGAACAGTACCGCGGTGAATATTTCATACGCACGCCCGTGGCGTCGGCCCGCGCGCATGTACGCAAGCCCTCCACCACCCCCTAGGGTGCAAGCTACCTGCTGGCCAAGTGGGTTTGCAGGCCAGACAGATGGGCCGGCCGCGCTCGGAACGAGCCTGTGGAGCTGGTGTGAGGGCATGGCGCGGACTAAGAAAGGGTAGAGGAAGAGGGAAAACATCCGAACGATGGGGACCAGACGTAGGGTTTCGGTACGGTACGGTACGTGGCGTCATCCGCGGTGTCCCACACGTCCGGTGAATCTCCCTACCCTGGCTTGACTAGGCAAACTAGGGCCCGAGGAGAGTTCTGCCTGGAGTTTGTTTGGTGGTGAAAGCGCCGTTGCTTGCCTCGCTCGTTGGGCGCTAGCAGGTCAGGCCGGACTGAATAAAAGGGGGCTGGACTAACCGGCCCTTAGTTAGGCACACATGTAGGTAGGTAGGTAAGTAGGTGGCAGCAGCGGCAGCAAGGCAGGGAACTCCGCCGCAAGAGACGGTGACAAGCGATCCATCCTCCTGGCTCTCTCGGATAGCTTCCTTCTCCCCCCCCCCCCCCCCTCCTCTCCCCTCCCGCTTTCCCCTCTCCCCCGGAGAAGAGGGCAGGTCGGGTAGGCAGCTTCGGTATGGAGCGGAATGGAGTCATGATGACATAGACCAAAAGTTGCTGGGGGATTCTGTTGTTGGTGGCGGCGCATATAGTCTAGGCACTAGGGGGGGAAGAGGGGAGGGAGAGGAAGGGGAGAATGAGGGGCGGTTCCGTATTGATTCTCTAATACCTAACTTGATCTCTATGGTTACATAGCCAACCTGGCTCACCGCCGCCCGCCGAGTCGAACCCGCAAAGCTGCAATGCCAGACAATAATGGTAAGCAGCGTCGGTGTCTGGTTGGTACGAGGCATATAACCTAGCCGCTGACTGGTCCGCCTTTCAGCTCGACTAACTTCGTTAGCTCGCCGTCCCATTCGCGTGGACACGATTCAGGGGATAGGCACGTAAAATGGAGATCCTCAGGCGTTGCGGCGCTAGAGCGCTCGCATGTCACACGCGTCTCATTGGGTTCCGATGTTGGAGAGGCAGCGAGACAGACAAGAGAAAAGAAACTGGACCGCCGTTTCTGCCGTCGATTCTCTCCCTCTTAGCGTACGTGTGTTGTTGCTACATATGTTACATACGTTACATACGTAGGGGCCCAACTGGACAAATGAGGAGGCCGATCAGTACGCAATAGTGTCATGCCTACATGCGTAAAATAATATATGTGCATACACGCACTCATTACCGTCATTGTTATAGTGTCACCGTCCTCGTCATCTCTCTGCATATTAGTATATCCACCTATATATAGGTATATATACACACACAGTTTCAACTCGGTGAATTGCTTGTGTACCTTGTCTCCCAGTTGGCTTTTAGTTGACCTTTTCGACATCTCCCGCCGCCGTGAGGACCGGGCGGCTCTCGCTGTTCTCATCTGGTAAGCGGAACGTTTGTACGGGGAACCCGGGCCATGACCATGGGGCCAAGTCCCCCCCCCCCCGCCGCCCCTTCTTCTCTATCTCCCTCTCCTCTCCTCTCCTCTCCTCCTCCTCTCTCCTCTCTCCTGCTCCGCCGAGTCTAGGCGCGCCTGGGTTGCCTAAAGCGAGGTCACGACGGCGCCGGTGTATGCGTGTAATGTTGTCGCTAAAGCCCCCCCCCCCTCCAGGACGTAACGGCGACTGGGATACCGTTGCCAAAGTCAAATTAACATCGAAGGGCTTGCCGGATTGTATTCCGCGACTACGGCGCGAGCGGTACAGTATGTAGTAGTGCATGGTTGAAATTGCCAACAAAGCCCAGCCCTTCCCATCAACCCTGGGCCGCTGTATCCACCTCTACGGGGCCCACCGCCTCTAGCTCTGACGAGGAGGGCTTCCCCCATATCATCTATGCATGTCCCTGAGCTTCTCTCGCATCATCATCGCCTCCTCGTCGGCGGCGCGAGGGTAAGTACACATCCGCGGGGTTTCGGTCAGCCTGGTCTCTCTCTCTATCTCCCTCTACATTTCTCGGCATGCCCGAAAATGCCACCATCACGATGATCACTAATACGACAGCGCGAACCCGAGTGCATGTCACATGTCCTCGACCGTAGCATATTTTACTTTTATAGATCCGAGCACAAACATGGCCCCGGTTCTCTGTTTTGCTGTCTCTCTAGAGACAGATGTCGAACAAGGCCCATCCATAACACGTAATACCCTGCCCCGATCATATTTAATAGCCCATGTTTTTAAAGACAATGCATCGGGCCACGCTTAGGCTAAAACCCAGGCCGATGAAGAGGAGAAATGTAACAGACCCTCCCCCCCCCCCAAAAAAACAACCAGCAATCGGATTTGTGCCGCGAGGCGAACCAATCTTCTTCTCATCCATTCCCATAGTTGATTCGAGTGGGAATCTTTTGACAGGAATTAAAAGCGTATGCATAGCCGCTGCAAACTAGAAAGAAAAGAAATAACAACAACAATGATACCGGTTAAAGAAGAAGAAAAGATAAGAAAGGGGTTGGCAAAAAACAGCAACAAGTAAACAATATGCTATGGTAGGGTAGGGTAGGGGAGGGGGGGGGGGTTTGTTGCCAAACCAAACGTGATCTAAATAAGCAAAGTAAATCTCCCGCGCGGCCTATTCTTAACGTTCGTTCTCGTTCGTCCTTCGTGAATATCCACACTTTACGCCCCTCGACTCGTAGCCGCCGCCCCGATGAGTGAAATGCAAATGCCGCCTAGAATGCCCTCGAACCGTGGACCAGAAATGGATTAGAACACCGCCGTCGATTCCTCGGTGTAGCTGATATGGTCTTCCGAACAAGCCGCCAGCAGCCATCTTCTATTTCCCTCGACACATTTCCCCCAACCCCGGTAACGAACGTCTTCCTTCCCTACACCGTCTCGAGTCGGCTAAAATTTTCCACCGGCCCGTGGCTGCCTGCCGACGATCCCGAGGTAGTTCACTGCTGCGTCTGCCTGTCGAGGCGGCTTATCATCTTCCGATCGAAATCGTTGCTGCTGGTGGGGGTGGGGGTGGGTCCGGATTCTATTATGTTTTCCACCCTCATCACCGGAAACGACGGAGGCCCTGCTGGGGCTCCCGAGGGGCTGCCTCTCGGTGGGGGTGTTCTCGTGTCGTATCCGGCGTAGGGAACCGGCTGGGGTTGTCGCTGCGCTAACGGTTGCAAATGGCTCGGGCTGCCTCCGGAAGAGGGTGATCGTCTTCGAGGGTTGTCGTCGGGAAAGGTAGCCGGAGGCGGGAGACGTACGGTATGCTCATCCTCCGGGGGCCTGGGCCGCCGCCGACTTTGTTCAGGCCTCTCGTCCGAGAAAGATCCGTACGAACCGGTTGGCGACGGCAGCGGTTGGTCGTATTGCGGATTTGCAGTTTGGTAGCTCCCCGGGTTGGGATTCGAAGGCACTACCAAGGGTTGCCCGTAGGCTCCGAACAATTGGGTGCCCGGTGGGACACCGTTTGGCAGCGCCGAAACGGGGACGAAGGCGGTCGAAGACGAAGACGAAACAGGCTGAAATACGCATTCTTGGTTCATCTTGATGCAATTTGTACATTTGCCTCCCGGGGAATTCTGATAGCCACTGCACCGAATCTAACGTTTTTGCATACATTTGGTTAGTCTTCTGAGGAACGTTGTAACAGAGAGAGGCCCGCGGTTCGTATAGTCTGGTCTTACCTTTCTCCTTCTGCAATATCGACAGGCAATCGACGTCCGTTGTCGAGGAGCGGACTGCTGCATCACTGCAGCTGCCCCAGGCCCCCCTCTCGCATATTCGCCGGTATATGTGCCGGAAGCGCCGCGGTCTTGCCGATATGCGAAATCGTACACGCTCTGGTTGCCGCCGTAGCCTTGGAAATATGAAGGCGTTCGGGGACCTGGGGGGTAGCTTGCCCTCGGGTCTGGGGTGGGTGCGTGGACCGGCGGAAGATAGGATGGGTGGTTAGCGCCCGGGGGAGGGAAGGCGTTTCCAGGGCCTGAAGGTGAGTAGCTTGCGCTCTGCAGCGCGTGCGAGGGAGCCGGTGGAGGGGGATAACCATTTGTGGAGTTCGGTGAAGGGCCGTAACCGGTGGCTCTGGGATCCCAGGTTCTGCCGGCGGGAGGGCCATAGGCACCTGGGCCGTCCATGATAGACGGCAGCCTTACCGCGCCGGCCGACATCTGCGGTCGTGAATGATAGGGGATAGCTCTCGCGCGATCGTCGTCTTCGCTGGGAACTGGCGGGTATGGAGATTCGTCGGTTTGGTCGTGCCTTGGCGGTTGTCCTATATTCCGACGCTCTTCTGCCATGCTACATCAACAGACGCAAGAGGGCGCCAGGGTGAGACTCCTCTTTTTTCTTCTTCTTCTTCTTCTTCTTCTTCTTCTTCTTTTTCTTCTTCTTTATATTAATTCAAGAGCAAAGAGCGCGTAGCAACCGAGAGAAGACCCAAGGCTTCAAGGGTATGTCCGAGGCGGCGCACGTTCTTCGCGATCAGGATGGCCCTGCTAACTGAAGGGTCTGCTTCCAACGGACAATTCTCTCCACTAGACAGCACAATCGCCGACAACCATATCAACCGCAAAGCTGCTATTTCGGGAGGGCGGAGGACGTTGATATGCGCGCATGTACCAGGCGTATCTAGCCTTGGCTAAAGGACAGCCAGATCGGATGGAGACGATTAGGGACGAGAGTAGAGCAGGACGAAGAGGGCGATTAGAGAAAAGGTGCTAGCATTAATTCCTGGAAGAGCGGGAGGGGGTGGGAGGATATACTAAGGATGCAGAGGAGGGAGAGAAAATAGAGAAGAGGAGAGAGAGGAGGGGGGGGGGGGGCGATGTCAGCGCGCAAGAAGGCGGCGCGAAGAAATTTAGGTGAAGGTGGAAGTGGCGGGGCCAACCGTGGTGGAAGGGGAAGAACCTTAACGACACAGACGGCGGAGTCTGTAGTGCCGGGAGGAAGAGAAGGGGCCCTGACTCTTCTATAGTTTGATTGCGGGATGACCCTTGGGGGTTTGCTGCAACAGAATCTTGGATGGGCCTAGCTAGTCCGTGTTAGCTGGAATGGGCCCGAGTACAATACATAGATCCAGTCCGCGCGCCCGCGAGCCCAGAAGACGGGGACCGAAATAGTTTTGACCAGGGAGGGCAGAGAGAGAGGGAGAGAAGGAGAAAGAGAAGGCTGAATCTCAAAAATGGTGCCCTCAACAAACAACGACGGGGATGAGCTGTCTGTCTCCTCGAACATCACAACCACCACGATGGAATAAATGAAAAACAGGGAAAGGTTCAGAAAAAAAAATTACAACATAGGCATTCTCCTACACTTCTTTACTTTACTTTTTCCTTTTGTGTCTTTCTTTTTTCCCGAGAACAAAAAAAAAAGGCAAGGTAAGGGAATGGGTTCCAAGGGGAGGGGAGGAAAAGTAACGAGTACGCCCCGGGGGTTTAGGCGTGTAGGTTAAGGCAAAGCAAGACAGAAAGTAAGGAGAAGGAGAGAGAGAGAGAGAGAGAGAGCTAAGAAGGAGGAGGAGTTAAGGTGGTATATGGCATATGCCTCGAACGCATCATTATCCTCTGGCATCTGCGTCTCTCCCGTTTTCTCTCTCTCCCTCCCCCCCTCTTCTCTTTCCACCCTCGACACGACGGCAAGCAATCGGCTTCTTTTTACTAACCTGCTGAAGAAGGACCTGTGCGGCTTGCGGAGGCAGGTCAGATGAGCCCTCCAGACGAGCAGACGGACGGGCAACTGTGTAAGCAACTATACTAGTCCACCAGTTAGCGAGCAAACCAGCCAGCCAGCCAGCCAGCCGGCAAAACTAGCAACACGAAACGCTGGGCGGCGGTAGGCTGGTGTCTAAAGCGACAGTTTAGCTGGGTAGGTGGGTGAGATGGGATCAGGTAGGTATGCTCGCGGTATGATAGGCAGGGCAAGGCGAGCGGATAGGGGCTAAGAGGGGAGGGAAGGGGAGGAGAGAGGGCCCGATCCAGTGCCGGCGATGGCGTTGTATGTGCGTATTGGCTGGGGGTCTAAGTATGTAATGTATGTATGTATGTATCTTGCAAGTGGATTTCCAGGTGTGCGTCTGTGTGTCTGCGTAGGCATGTGGCTAGCTAGCTAGCTAGCTAGCCCCGTTAGGACGAGGGATAACAATACAGGGACGAGAACGACACCACGTAGGGGTGTATAACAAGGACGTATATGTGGACGGAGGGATGGGTGTATCGATGTAGGCATGTAGCAATGTATGGACGTATGAGCAGCCAGTGTGTTGTCGGTACGCAGCTGTGTGTGTGTGTGTGTGTGTGTGTGTGTGTATGCATGTACGTACGCAGACGCGGGCGCAACCGTAGGCGCAGGCGCAGGCGCAGACGCAGCGGTTCTGCAAGCGGAGTTGGGCCGGCGGTTGCAAGGATGATGAGATGGGGAATAGATGGGAATGCAAGAATGAGGAATTGGGCATATTGTACGACATGCAAAGGTGTTGGAAACGCCCAAGATAACTCAAGTGACTTCTTTTTTGTGTAAGTTGACTTGAGTGATCGAATCTGTAAAGCAGCTCCTCCCCTCTCCCCAAAACGAGGCGAGATTTAGGTGCATCAGACCCCAGAGGATCCTCGAGACCCAGGCTGAGGGCTCGAGCTTTTTTTGGGCTTTGCTTCTCTTCCTCTCTCTCCCCGTCTTCCTGCCTGTGCAACGTATAATAGAGGATGGGAAAAAGGCGAAGGGGGCGAAGGAGGACAGTAGCGTGGTAGTTACTATTATGGATATAGCGGCATGTGCGTATACGTGTAGTAGATGCGTGAATGTATGACTGGCAAGACTGTCAAGTTAGAACGTACCTCTCTATTTCGTCCTTCCTCTCACTCTCACACACACTCTCTCTTTCCGTTTCCTTCGGAATTCCTTCTGGGGGGATTTCCAAAAGCAAGAGAACAATACGATATCCTCTCGAAAGGGCCGGCACTACCACTGTTTTGCCTAGGCGGGTACAGACGTGTGTATGTAGGTGGTATCTAGCGTCTAGGGCCTATATATGTAGTGGCGGCGTCTCTGGGGGTGGGTGTTAGTGAGAATGGTGATTCGCGCTGGTGGAGCAGGATCAGAAGAAGGGAAGAGGTGGATGAACTACTGCGGGTGGTGTGTGGATGAGTTGGCGAGGGTGGCTCCCCCAGACCGAAAACGACCCCCTTCTCCCCAGGTAGCATGAGCTATTGAGTCGCTAACCTAGAAAGGTCGTCGACCCGCGCGGTGGCTAGGGCGGCTGGATGATCTCACTAACCTAACAAAAATAGTCCGTCCCACCGTGGCCGAGAGATGGTGTTGGCAAGGCACAAGAGACGAACGAGAGGGAAGGGGATGCGTGCCGCACACTGACGATACACGCAGAGATGACACAGACAAACGGGAAATACATGTACGCACGCACCGGGAACCCCCGAGCCTAAGTGCGCAGGATCTCCCCCGGAACCTAGAAGAGAGAGAAAAAGAACACACGACGGGCGGGAGGACCGGAGAGGGGTGTACGTATGGAAGTATGTACGCGCGCACGTCCGTATGCGAACGGGCGTTGGTGTGGAGGTATGGAACGGGGGCAGAAGAGGATGGGAGAGAGTCGGGAGCGGGGAGGAGGGAAGGAAAGGCGAAAGAGGAAGAAAAAGAGAGAGTCGGGGGGGAAAGGGGGGGGGGGGGGGGAGAGTAGAGAGTGCGAGAGGCTTTTGCACGGTCGCAAGCCTGGATGATATAATAAGACGTAGTAGTACTGGCAACGACAATTCTCGTAATGGTAGCGAGTTATGGGTAGAGGTGGGAGCGGCGGCGGCGGGATTGAGCAGTGGGCAGTATAGGGATGCTAGGTGGCACGTGTAGGTAGGTAGGCAGGCAGGTAGGTACAGTCAATTCCCGTAACGGGAGTGGTATTGTGGCGGATGGCGGGCGGTACGGTGGGTAAAAATGATGGGTAAAAATAAAACAATAAGAAAAGAAAAGAACGGAGCCGGGAGGGAATTAAAACAACAGCACCAGCACCAGCACCAGCACCAGCAGCAACAACGAGGGACAGAGAAGGGGAGTGAGTAAGTACACTTACCAGCAGCGATAGATAGTGCCAGCGGTAATAATTGCGGTGGTGGCAATGGTGCGTGCTATCCGCGACGGTGACAACGACGGTGACGATGATTGGCGGGCGGGGAGAGAAGGGGGGAAACGAATAGGCCTGAAAAACAAGACACACCGAGTTATTCCTATTCCTATGCCTAAGTAGGTTTATTCTTCGCCGGTTGCGGTCCGTCGCAGTCCGGATCTTCGAACGGGGGAGAGGGCAACTGTGGGATGGATCTGCTGGGGAGGGCGGATCTTATTCCAATCAGGTCAAGTTTAGGCTTGCACGCCGCGCCTAATAGCAGAATACCGTCAGGACGGATAGGCTTAACAGGTCGCAGAACGGGCCGCAGAGGGAGACCCCAATCTGATCTCGGTCGAACGACACAGACTTTGGAACAGGATCGGATTTCGACCTGGTGTGCCCTTCTAGTGGTGGTACCGTCGATGGGTAAGGTTGTGCGTGGCTCTTTAGGCTTAGCGAAATAAACTGGTAAGCTCTTGTTTTTTTATCTCGTCTCTTTTCCCGTTTTATCCATCCTTTTCTTCCCTCCCACGTCATCGCGAATACCTTCTCGGCATCCCCATCTTGCTCTTGCTGTCGCTTCCCCCCCTCCCCTTATTCGTTCTCTGTGCTCTTTCAAAAGACGGGCTCCGGAGCTCGAAGCAGAAAAGAAAAATCGAGAGACAGATGGAAATACAGAAACATTAGGCGGTTTCTTTTCAAAAAGACCAAAAAAAAAAAAAGAGCACGCCACCGGTAGCAGTGTTATTGTGTGTGTGTGTGCGCTTGTGTGTGTGACTTACAAGAATAGGTGGAAGTGTATTGCGCCAGAGCAAAGTGTCCGGTCGCTATAAAGGAGGTATGACACAACCCCCCCCCCTCTCAAAAATAGTCAACCGAATAAGGTCAATGGTCAATGCCGTGGTGGTGTTGCTGTCGCTACTTCGGGTGGTTATAATTATCGTGTCAGCCAATTTCCGCGCTCCCGTCAATATACCCCAACAAGGGGCGCGTTCCGCTGGATCTGGTGGCCTCCCCTTTTTCAACACCCCCCTTCCTTCTTCCTTCTCAGTCGAAGGGGGGGTGTGCGACAATTAGGTTCAAATCTCCTGCTGCGCCGCTATCGCGGTAGCAGTGGGACGGGCAAGAATTCCTGGCCGAACCGATCCTTTGCTTCGGTCCGTTTGGCGGTCACGGGCAAAAGCAAAGCTGGGTTTAAGCAGGGTGCTCGCGAGCAGAGCGGTACGGCAAATTATGGCCTTGGAGATTCGCGCGTGCGGACCAGAGACCAGCCAAGTTTAATCCCGGCCACGGCTGCTACCTGCTGCTCTCGGTTCCTGTCCGCTCCTCGACGCCCACACCCCTCGCGCGAGGTCGGGCACGAAGATAACTCAAAAGTGGCCAAGTCCAGCCCCTAATCCCTCGGATGCGGCAGGTCCTGGTGGCTTGTCCCGACGGCGTGGGACGCCTCGGGTGGACTGTTGGCTAGCTACCCGGCTTGCCGGCTCGGCCTGTCTGGCGCATACACCCCGTGAGGCTTGCCGACAGAGTTCCCAAGTGGACGCAGGCGT